ATGACTCGACCCATAAAAAATTCGATCGTATCTCCCAATTTCAATCGAATCTCCAAACTCCACTTCAACGGACTTGGTCGCCCGACCCCTTTGAACATTTCCCCTTTGAAATCACGACTCAACGTCGTCGAAAAATGATATAATTGAACGCGACCTATTTCGAACTCGTTTTGATAAACCCAAAAAAATTGATCGATCTAGAAGGAATTAGAGGCCCTAACCACCACATAAATTCTTCTCTCAACCTCACGAGTCGAATGGTGTGCTTGGAATTTTGAGAGGAGGTCGGATTCATCGCCAATGAAGAAAGGAGATCCGATCGGATCTTTGTAGGCTTCGATCTCCCTCTTCGGCGTCGTCTCCAGTTGAAACCACCACCATCGGAGTCACCGTGATCGGATCTACAACGTGAAGTGATCCACGGGCCGAAAAGACCATCGAAAGACTAACGATCATCGGGCGACTGACTCGTAGTATTCCAAGGGCATTTTTTTAATTTTAAGTGTAGGTGAATTTTGGGTCGTTTGGTTTGTTTTTTATTTTATTTTATGTGTTTTGTAATTTTTTTTAACCTTATACATGTTAGAAAACCTAGAGATATTTTAGGTGTAAAATTTATTTTAATATGTGATTTTTGATGTAACTAAAATATTGAATCAACGAGTCTCCTATTTATTAGGGACGAACGATGATTTCAATATATGTAATTTCTTGAAATTTATTTTATTTGATTTTAGTTAATTAAAATTTTAGAATTTTTTTTTGTAATTAGTTTAGATAATTAAGGGATAGTTAATCATCGAGTCTCCTAATTTTTAGGGACTAATGACGATTCTTCATCGACAACAAATAAAAATAATAAAATTTTTTGGCGAAGTCTTCTATTTGACGAGGATCGACGTCACCAAATAAAAAGAACGTCTAAAATTTTTGACGAAGTCTCCTATTTGATAGGGACCGACGTCACTCAAAAATTATTGTTTAATCGGGAAGTCCTCCGACACACCGGTTGTGTCAAGGCTTAAAGGAGATCTAATATTTGAACCGACGTGTCGCCCGATGGAGGGGATCGACGATCGTTTCAATACGATGCCCCGCTTCAAAAATTAAAAAAAAAAAAACTTAGTTTGGTTTGAAAAATGAAGTTTCAAAAAATTTAAAAAATAATTTGACAAAAATAAAATACTTTGGGAGATAAATTCGAACTAAACTAGACGTGGTACCTTTATTCGTAAAGGGCGTTTTTTGGTGATCGATATCTTCTCAAAAGCATAACCAACTCTCTACTATAGAATTTCGAACCAGGTGCCCATTTTAGGTTCCTAGTTCCTTCAATACTAGGTGACGACTCCAAACTCGTAAATAAACTTATAAATATCAATTAACATTTAGATATTTTTTAGAGTTCCGTCCGACGTTGGATAGCGACAAAGGAGATCGTGTTTCTTGTAATTTAATGCCACAGTAAAACGATATCATATTGTAAGAAAAGAAAAAAAACTACATTATTGAATTTGAAATAATTTCCATTTCATTTATGATAAAGCTATGGTTACTGTTAGATTCGAAAAGTTAGCATTTATTCATTTCCTTGTCCCAACAATCAGATGACCTGGGTCAAAATTAGGCAGCGGGACCTTGAAGCAACTATGCTGAGTCACATTACGAGTCATCGTGCACGGCTAGACAAATGATGAAGGGTCTCATAAAAAGGTTAATGAATTACTGATATATCATGATTTGAAAAATAGATGCGACTTCTATATGGCAATATTTTTTATAATCTTCTATGATTAATTGCAGGATTTGTATGTATATTTTTTAATTTTTCTTAATATTTTTTTTCTTCATCGAGACTTTTTATTTTTTTAATAGAGTTCATTTGATAGAATTCTGTCCAATTTTTCGAATAAAAAGGATAAGTGGAGGGACACATTATATAAAACTAAGACACACATAAAATGATAAAATTTTATCGACGAAATCCCATCGAGATGATTAAATTAAAAAAAATCTAAAAATTAGAAAAATCTCATAAATAAATAAAAAATAAAAAAAACCACGCTAACAAAATTTACAAATGAATCATGAGCATGCTATTAATCCAAATCTTGTATAATAATACATAGCATTTCAAAGTGTTGAATTGGATACTAATTACAAATATTGATTTTGTATTCCAATTCCCCCCGACATAGGTGAGAGTTAATAGTTTTATTAAAAAAAATTACAGCGATGACAATATTTTTGACTAGTTTTTATGTATCGAAATTATTTTTTGTTTGTTTAGATATATATTAACAAATTCATCTAATATAGAAACGAAACTGATAAATTATATAAAAAATTATTTCTTACAATTTTCTTTTAAATTCAAATCTAAGATAATAACATAGAAAACATACACATTTTACTATATTAACCAATATATTAAAAATAAAGATATGCAAAAATTTTTATATTACTCATTGAGTAATTAACATTATTTACTTCAAATGAGATATAGAGATAAAGATAAGAAAGAATTAAAAAAAACTACAACAATATTTTAATTATTATTATTTTTTTGTTTCTTTTATTAAAATAGACCTATGGAGTAAGTCCATGAGTATTTTAAAAATTTTCGGTACTAAGTGGCTTCAAATTTAGAGCTTTTTTTTTATTGGGGAAAAATTCTTTCAAAATAATATTATATTAATAAATAAAATTATTTATTGCAAAGAAGCTTAGTTTAAGGATCGTGAATTAAGAAATGCCCAATAAATAAATATGAAAGAAGAAGAAAAAAGAAATTAGAAACTCAAGAGTTTCATCAGATAAAAGAGAGGATAAACGTCAATAAACAACTGAATAAAGATAAGAAAGCTCTTCCTCAAATTATGAAAATGCTTCAGCAAATCGGCTTTCACTTGGAATGAGAGGGGAGTAAGAGTAACTCCTAACAAGTGGAGAGGAAATTTTTATCGGTGATTGATTCTAATCTTGATCGCTTCCATTGGAAATCTCCATCTCATTGTGTCAAAAAGAAAAAGAAAAAGTGTCGCTACCAGCCGTCTTGGCCCAGTTTGTTTATGTAGTAAATCAGACAAAAGATTTAAAATTAAAGACATGCAAAAAATAAAGATTTGGTGGGTATGAGAAAAATTGATAAAGTTTGAGGCTTCTCGTGATCAGAAGTGCAGTGTTTCACAGTTTTACCATCCCAGAAATTACTGGAAGTGGGGCATGGGGATCAAAAGAAGGGGTCCAAAAAAATTACACAATGGAGAGGGAGAAGACAGCGTGGATACAAGAGAAAAGGAATCATTATGGGCTTCATTAAAGGCCCACCTGTACCTGCTAGCATAACGGAAGCTTGGTGCCGTGGGCTTTTTATGAACTTTATAATGTGATTTGCAACCGGTGGAATCAATTCTCACGGTCATTGACAAGAAATGGCTTCAGTCTATTGTTATCATATCGTAATGAAATGCAACTGTTTATAATATGTAAAGATATATTTTTTTAGATAGTGTGATTAGATGGATTTCTTAGCTATTCTTTGCAAATTATATAATTCTAAAATTTTAATTGAAGTAATACTTAGTTTTGTTTTTAGATTTATTTGTATTTAATGGATACTGTTTTAATTTGTTTCACATAGCTATTATGAATTCATATTTTGTAGTACTTATATATTTATTTTGATAAGTAAAAATTTTCATTAAAAAAAAAAGAAAAGAAATGGCTTCAATAACAGTGGGAGTATCAACGTTATTAAATCCGACGGGATAGTGATCTAGTCAAAAGTTCAACCACTGTGTCATTAGGTTGCTTTACTGTTATATATATATATATATACACACACATACAAACACTGAAATATAAATACTTTTAATAGCAATTAATTTGTTACAGTGGCAAACTTGCAGATTCATTTTATTGAGCAGTGCATATACGTACGAGATCCTTTTTTTTTTTTTTAGGTGTGGTTTCATAATAAAAATGATTTATGAAATGAGAGAAATTATTCGTATTCGGTAAGTTAATTAAGAATCATACTCTACTCTTTTATAAAAATATGTTTCAACTATAAAAATAATTAATGAATTTTATATTTTCACAAGAGAAAAAAGTTACGGTAGTGTGCAGATATACACAATAATTACTAATAGAATAGTAATTTTTTAATTAATTGAATAAACTCTTGAGTAAACTATTACACTGATTTATACCTTAGCGATTTTTAGTTTTCACAATCAATTCTTAAATTTATCCAAAATATTGATGTATTGTGAAGTAAAACAACTTGACCGATAATACAAGTCAATATTTTAGACAAGGCCACCCCTTAATTTGTTGTTAATCACTCATTGTGATTTTAATATCGAACTTGAATTTGTTTTTCAAATAATTAATAATTGATGGAATGTATTCTACTACCTAGACAGCACCCATCAAGTAATTTATTTTTTCAAGCATTTTCCTTATTTTAAACTAATTAATCCGTTCATATTTATCCACACTCACTCTTTAGTCTTTTTGGGAAGCTTTTCTATCCTCATAAAGGTTATTTAGGCTTTTAAGTACATGCCAGATTTTCACATAAGACAAATATTAAATGCTCCCTCAATTATTATGGAGCAAAAAAAAAATCATGTTCAAAAGGTGTCTCAATCTCCTAAACAAAGCACTATTCCTTCATCTCCACCAATCTAATAACATCGCCCCACATCATCAAGGGGCCCCACTAAACAACTGCTTGTACAGCAAAAACATGGACATGTCCGCACTGAATAACAATCATCCTAACAAAATCTTCGCCAAATGAAGGAGATAAAAATGAAAAAAATATGCACACCCCACAAAATCCAACAAATCCAAATAAAATTATGGTTGTCTTTACAGAATCAAAGAAAGAGTGAAGAAATAAAAAACTAACCAAAAAAAAAAAAAAAAAAAAAGGGCAAAAGCCCCTCTAATTACAGAGAGAAACGAAAAGATTTTTAACCCAAAAAAAAATGTCACAATCACCAGAGGAGAAAACAACAAACCCTAACCCTGATAATAATTCAAAGCCACCACCAAAACCAATACCAACATCCTTAAACAGAAAAACCAGAACCATAAGCTTGCCAGAGTTGTGGTTCAAAGGACAAGCATTAAAGCATGTAACTTTGAAAATGAAATCTCTCTCAAATAGCCCACTTGCATCACCTCCATCTGACCCAGAAAAAAATTTAGGCTTCCAATCTCTTGACCCCACCCGACCGGATTACTCCTCCCTTCTCTCTGACGAGCTTCTCCTTCAAGTCTTCAATAAACTTCCAATTTCACAGTATGTTTCTAACTCTCTTGTTTGTAAAAGATGGTTGTTACTTCATGGACGTTTGGTGCAATCAATAAAGATTACAGACTTTGGTTTTGTTAATTCGGGTCGGATTTTTACCCGGTTCCCTAATTTGGAAAATATTGATATTGCTCTTGCCTGTATTAAAATGCCTAGGAATTCTGGGATTTTGATTACTAGGAATAATTTGTCTGTTTATGTTGGTACTAAGTTGTTGTCTGATGGGTTTATTGAAGAGAATGATTTGTTGTCGTTAGATTTGATTGATAATGGGATTGAATTGATTAGTAAATGGTATCCTAATTTGAGGAGAATTATTGTATTTGGTACCAGCGGAAATGGTTTGTTGAGTGTTTCAAACAAGTGCGAAATGTTGCAAGAATTGGAGTTGCATTGTTGTGGGGATATGTCTTTGAAGGGGATTTCCGGGTGTAGGAATTTGCAAGTACTGAAATTGATTGGTCGCATTGACGGGTTCTATAATTCGGTGGTGAGTGATATCGGGTTGACGATTTTAGCTCAAGGGTGTAGGAGGTTAGTGAAGCTTGAGTTATGTGGGTGTGAAGGGAGCTATGATGGGATTAAGGCGATAGGGCAGTGTTGTCAAATGCTTGAAGAATTGACCATCAATGATCATAGAATGGATGGTGGTTGGCTGGCTGCATTATCGTTTTGTGAAAATTTGAAGACTTTGAGGTTGCAGTCATGTAAGTGTATTGATGCAAGTCCTGGACTGGTCGAACATTTGGGATCTTGCCCTACACTTGAAGAGTTGCATGTGCAGCGGTGTCAGATGAGGGATAAGCAAGCGGTGCAGGCTTTGTTTTTTGTTTGTGAGGCTGTTAGGGAAATTGTTTTGCAGAACTGTTGGGGATTGGAGGATGAGTTGTTTTCTACTGCAAGTGTTTGTAGGTATGAGTTTCTGTCATTCGGTTTTGCTATTATCTCCTAGTTTGTTCATTCATTTCAAATTATACATATGATATTGATAAGAGCCTGGATGAAAGAAATTTGATCTCCAAAAGGTGAACTTAAACTGCACAATTTCAATCTGTATGTTATGCATGATGTCACGTGTCGCGTTATTTATTTCATCATGTATAATCATGCTTATCCTTTCCAATCTCTTAACTTGGTACTTTTCTTCATTTGGAACTGTAGATTGAAGTCTCTTTGAACATGCTAGAAAATGCCCGAAAAGGGACTTTGACATAGATGAGAATTGCACGAATTTTTTGGTAGTTATCCTTATTTTGCCAAATTTAGTATAACAACGAGCAAGCTTGATCACACTTGTTGATAGTACGACAATTATTTGCACATTACATAATGCAGTACTTTAGATCAATCTTTTGATGGGCCTTTTTGTTTCCTTTCTTGATAGGAGGGTAAGGCATTTGTCTCTGGAAGGATGCTCATTGCTGACGGCAGGAGGTTTGGAGTTGGTTATTCTGAATTGGAAGGAACTTCAAAGGCTTACAGTAATTTCTAGTAACAATGTAAAAGACAGCGAAATAACTCCTGATCTAGCAACTCTGTTTTCTGTTCTGAAAGAGTTGAAATGGCGACCGGATTCCAAATCTCTCCTGTCAGCAGGTCTTGCAGGGACTGGAGTGGGAAATAAAGGTAGCAGATTTTTCAAGGGATTGAAAGGCTGACCAGACCATTTGATGCCTAGAATCTTAGCTTCAATTTGAGGAATATTTTAATGTTTTCTTGGCAGCTACAAACTAATTTGTCAATAAGCACACTCCGTAGATAGTAATCATTATCATATCTAATTTAGACAATTTAGCACAGCGGTAGCAGAGGAGGACTTGTCAATGTATTTCACAAAGAGGCTGCTAAAGGGAGCTTATATTAAGCATTCCAATACCCTAGCACCCCCTTTGATTTATAGGGGTGAAATCTATGTCAAGTTGAATTTCTTTTGTCAGTTTATAACTGGAGCAGTTTTCTCCAACATTTAAATAGGCCAGATATTGTAACTCAGCTAGTGAATAGTTGGTCGAGTTGCTAGGAATTAGAATAAGTGCAAGAGTGGTGCATCCCCCTCCCACCCATATTTCAGATCATGGATACTTCACCTTCCTCAGGAATTTTATCTCCATCACATGTAATATTACATTTTAATTTGTTGAATTTGCAGATTCGTGGTGCCTTGATGCACCTGCTAATACAACAATTGCTATATTGATTCATGTTTTACTTGTGTGGATCTCTATGATTTGAAAACTATGCATTACTCATGATGTGCTGAATCATTATATCCGTCATTCAATATTGTTTGGTAATGCTACAGCTTCAACATAGATCAAGGAGCTCTTTATCATGTTTTGCTATCAAATACATTTTGGAAGGTAATGTTACTCTGTTAAATACTAAATTGTCACTCAATACAGATCCTTCCAATCTTTTTCTTTTAGGTGTGGGGGGAGGGGGTCTTGTTGTCTTCTTTATCTTGCAGAAATGACCAACATCATTAAGCAATGAAAAGAGGTAGCTATTGGATCGTCTTCCCTCTCCTCAGAAAAACTTTCAGAAGTTTGAGTTCTGCAGTGACAGGGCCCTGGGGTGCAAATCGATTGTCGTTGTCGGCTGATTTCATGTTGCTTATTTGTCAATCGGATTAAGGTATCTGTCTTGACCACATGCATGATTATTGGCTAATGCATACTAGATATGTTGGATTAAAAGACAAGGATGGAGTGAAAACCAGTGTACAGGCTGAATGAAGGGATGCTGTTCTGACAGATAGATAGGAGAAAAAAAGAGATGAGAGAGATATCCAATGACTTGTTATAGTGCATGAACTTGAACAATGGACCGTAGAAGAAACTGATTAAGCAGAGGGCTGAACGTGATTGTGAGAACTCCTCGATGTATATTGCTGGGGATACCTTAATTTTGCAAGAATGGATAATTTTAATTTCTAAGACAAAATCTTGATTGATTTTGGATACATTTTAGTAAAGCTGGGGAGATTCTAAAAGGGTGATTCACTCGGAAAAATGCAGTAAGACGGGTGAAGTGAAAAGTGCAAGAATATTGTTTCACTGTAGAAGATATTAAATCAGAGAAAACTGTTGTCAGATGAATAATGCTAGATCATTTTTTTATAGTAGCAGGCAAAAAAGCCTGCTCTGATATGTGCAGGGGCTATTGTTGGGAAACCTAATGATGACTGGATGAATTGAGTGTGTGAATTGGCAAATTATATGGAGCCACAAGCTGGAATATTGAGAGCTGTACAAGTTTTTCCTTTGTTATTATTGATCTTGGACAGTTCGAATACTGGTTTGGTTTTTGGGATGGGATTGGAGTAGTGGAATTGATTTTAACTTTGGCACAGACCATGATGTATTCGCCGGTTAGGATTTCTTCTCCAATAAAATATTATTAGCACACAAAATTTTGTGACCATCTCATTTTAGATCGATGGTTCCAATTGGCCAAAAATGATATTTCAAGCTCTCATGAACAATAAAATACTTCAATAGTGTATTAATAACGGCTGCAAATGATATTCGTTAGTTTCTTGTGTTTTGGGCCTATTGGCTGGCCACTCTTGTGACCAGAAATAAAAGAGAGACAAAAAGAAAAGGGCAGCAGAATAAAACTAATTGGGAAAAATTCGGATCAATCAGCCAACTGTAACAATTATCAAATCGGTCTGCAAACTATCGATTTTCTCAATTTGATTCTAAGGAATTAGACACTCCTCAATCGTGTCAGTCTGTTTATATCCATTGGTGTTTTCCGACTATATTATATACCCTAAATGAATGCCGTGGTTTGAGAAAATTAACTTTTGAATTAAAAAAGGGGGAATATTCTAAATAGGAAACCCAATTCAGAAAATATATGATACATTGAGGACCTGGTTAAGAATAAATTTGTTTACGAAAACTCATTTCTTAGGCCCAAAACGAGCCCAGGTAACACACGCTGGAAGGCGAATTTGACTTCTAATTTGTTTGAAATCTGACGTGGGCAAACACGATTGGATAGTTAGGCGTGGAAGTAAACAGGCGTATACATATAACCCAGTTTATAATACGCGTAGATTTTTGCAGGCAAAAAACCCCAGATATAGTCGAAGAAGAAGATATCCAAATTCCAGTGAAAATCACCCCGATCTCTCTCTCTTCTTCGAATCAATTCAGGTAAAAATTTTATTTCGATTTGCATTTTTTTAATTAATTTCATTAATTTTCTGGATCTATCTTTGTTGAAAATACTTGTAGATCTGTTCTTGTCTTTGCATCGGATTTTTGAGATTTTCCTGCCTTTGTTTTGGATTTTTTTTTCTCTGAAATCTTGATATATTTTTTAGTTAAAAAAAAAAAAGTTTTCTGCCAATTATTTGTATCTTGTAGATCTTTGGCATCTGCCTCGTGATTAGATCTGTTTTTTTTTTTTTTTTGCCTTTTTTCTTTCGATAATTAAGATCTCAATTTTGCAAAGATTTAATACACACATAAATTTCATTTTTAAAGCAATTTTTTGGTGTCAATTTGGGTACCTGGATGAATGCTTGTATTTGTGGTCTATAAGATTATTTTAAGTGTACGACATGGAGAAGAGATATTGAAAATTGGATTTATCAAGGGCGATAAGTTATGCATTTCATGAAAACGGATTGCTGATAGCCTTGAATTTTGATGGATATGTTTTAGCTTTTCATGAATGTTATGCTCTTTCGCTTCTTTAGTTCACGTTGCCATTCATGTTTGATGCATAGTAGTTAGGTTAATCACTGATGTACTAGCTTTTGATCTCGTTGATATGCCTGTTTAAGTGGTACTGCTAATTTGGGTTGAAAAGTTTGAGAATGTTGGTGATGCTATGTAAGTGGACTGAACTAGTTGTTTCTTTGGTGGGTTTTTACAGAAATGGCTGTAGGTGGAACTGCGCCCCCAAGAGGAAGTGCAGCAGCTGCTGCAAGCATGCGTAGGAGGAGGACAACAAGTGGTGGAGCTTCCGGAGGAGCAGCTGGGACTATGCTTCAGTTTTACACTGATGATGCTCCTGGACTCAAGATCTCTCCAAATGTTGTACTTGTTATGAGCATTGGTTTCATTGCTTTTGTTGCTATTCTCCACGTCGTCGGCAAGCTTTACCTTGTCCGTAGAGAGGCTTAAAGGGAGTTTACTAATGATAGGAAGCTCAGTTTGGTATCTTGAATTTTGGATTTTGAATCAATAGACTAATGTTTTAAGCAATGGATGTGGGTTTTGAATTAATAGACTAATTGTTGTTGCAAATATCACATTCTATCTCTGAGGAAATAACCGGAAACTCCGGTGAGGTAGTGGAAGCTGGCATGTTCTTGAGGTCTCGGGAGACTCTGATTAGATTTTATGCAGTATACGGTTTTTTATATCTTTAGGTCAAAATTTACACGTTAAATGGATTCTTCATGAATAATTGTTTTCTAATACAGGTATATGATTGAATATTGGAATGCAATTGCTGACAATAATATCGGTTAGACCAAGCATTTCTCCAAATGTGTTAAGCAGAGTTTTATACCTAACACAATACTAAATTACTGATTGGATTGCATGATTTCCTCTGTGGTTTTGGGTGAGTCACTGGATGGATCTACTTCAGCTTGTATCAGTAGATAGTTAAAAAGCAAAATTTTGGAGGATGCTAAGCATAGTCCAGAATTTTCTGTTCTTTGTAACAAATGGTGATTCCCCCGATTTCAGTCTGTTCTTGGAAGATAAATGTACTCGTTTTTAATTCCAGTAGCAGCAACCAGCCCCCTTAATGCCCACCGCCAATGACAACTATAGCCTCGAACTCTCTTCAATTTTTCTTTTTCCAAATCAGATCTTATATATTGGACATTCCATCGCGTATTGAGATGACACGTCACGCCATTTCTCATTGCGTTTCCATCTTCTCCCTTGCTTTAGGGATCTATATATCCGTAAACAGAAAAAAACAATTTGAAACTGTTTATGTTTTCCCTCCCTCTCTCTCTGTTGTTCAATCAAGAAACCCCAAAAGCTCTCGAGAAACAAAAGATCATGAGAACAACAGCATGCAAAAACATATCTCAGCACAACACCACCACCGATAGAGCAAAACCCACCATCAATCCTTCGCCCAACACCACGAACAATGCTTCTCAATCCTCTTTTTCATCTGCCCCAGCGCTTAGAAACTCGTGGCCAATAGGGGCTGCTGCACTTCATGACAATTCTATTTCTGCTGATCGCCCAATATGGAGCCTCAGTCCTCTATCAGCAGCTTTGCCAGAATCTCCACCACCCATTTGCAGCGATTGTTCTAGTCCCCCGCGTAGTTCTGCCACAATTTTCTACTCTTTGGCTCCTACTGTGCTTTCCACTTCAAGATTCCAGGTTTTCCTTAAAGAAACTGGTTTCTCATTTCTTGACTATTTATTGGAAGGATTCTCTTTTATTTAGATTTTAAATGACGTCATTGCTTGTCTTCTACATATTTTTGATCTTCTAATTTCTAATGCATGTCGTCTTTGATGGGTTCATTTAAAGATAGGTTCTTTTAGCCCTGATGAGCTATATTCTTTCCTTTCCTTATTGAATTTGCTAATTCGTAAAGATAGAAATCCTATTGTTTTAGCTTAAATTAAATTGTTTCAATTGGCAGAGTACAAGGCCCAACTTTAGTAAACCACCCGTAGCAAGCAATATCGAAATAGAGGAATGGGTTCAAAGCGGCAAGAACTTGAATGGCTTCCATCATCACATAGGTCCCTCCCTCTTTTTGCCTGTGACTTTTTATGTGCCTATGCAAATTCTGTACTCTAGCTCTCATTTCTTTGTTTCATTAGACAATGGAATCGCAACTCAAAATTGCCACTCAAGACACCACTTAAGGCCATCTGCGGTTGCAGCCATTGATCCAGAAGTTCATATCAGGACATTATCTTCTTTTCTTAATGAAGACAATGAAAAAAGGCATCATGATTCAGACCCAGAATGCAACCACAAGATATACAGCTCAGACGCTGACAGCGTGGATTGTGGAAACCACAAACTAATGACTCGACCGAAACCTTACAGGGATTTCCTAGATGAAATCAAGGCACAGGAACTCGAAGCTCAGATGGGTGCATGGAAGAAGGCTAAACATAGGGAACTGATGAGCAAGTGAGAAGCAACTTTTCAGTACTTTATGTCACCAATCTACAAAACTCTCTTGTACACTAATTTTCTATCTTCCCATGCATTCTTTTGCAGCTTGACAAGAAAAGAAGCTGTTATACGTGATTGGGAGTATAAACAGACACAAAAGGCATTGAAGGACATAAGGAAAATGGAGGTATATGCAATGTCCCTATACTAAGTTACTTATTCATGCCCTAAATGGTCTCCGGTGTCTGCTTCGTAAAATCTCTGAATCGACGAAAGCGTAATTTAAAGAAAACCTAAAAGATTTGGGGCAAATGAATAGTAAATCAGTATTCATTTGAGTCAAATCACTATTCACGGGTGGTATTTTGGTAATTTTCAATAGTAGCATTTTTATATTTTTTTGTCTAGTTTTTAGGCATTCATTTGCAAATTTTATATTTTATTCTATTTTGGTCCCTTATTGTTTCAAAAAATATTTTTGGTTCTTCAAGTTTTTAAACATATGTTTTTGCTCTCTCTCTCTCTCTCTCTCTATATATATATATATATATATATATTGGATTATATTATTCTTATTTTTAAATTTGATCTCTTCAATTTATCATTTCTTATGAAAATTTTCATCAAATTATTTTTTATGTAATTTTATTTGTTAATAAATATGATTTTTTTCTCTATATATGAATTTTCAAATATATTTATTTAAATAATTAATTAATTTTGTATAATTTGTGTGTTTTTTTGGCGTATTCTTGATATAATAAAAAAATTAGGATAATTTTTTTGTTGTTGTTTTTATTGCATTCTATTAATTTCAATATATTTCCTACAAATTAAATATTTTTAAAAATATTTTTTTATTTATACTACACATAGAGCGCAATGAGTATGATCATGATGTATAAAAAACATACTAAGATCATTAGTTTTATTGAAAATTCATTATACATCTACACAAATAACATCAATCATTTGCTACTAATTGTTTTTAATATTCTAAAATTAATTTATTTCAAGTAAAATAATTGAAATAATATTTTAGAAGAATCATCAAATAACTCAAATACATATTTTTATACTATTATTATTGATTTTTTTATAAATAAATATATATAAATAAAATTTATATTTTTTCAAAAAGTTAAAAAAGATTTGTTAGTTAATTTTTATACAAATTTTTATATTGATTGTTGCTTTATTTCTTCGATGGAATTTTATAAAAAATAATAATATATTTTTTTAAAAAAATTTATATTACACTATATTTATATTATAATAGGTTTTTATTTAAAACTAAATTCATAACAAACAACGAATTGTATTTTTTTAACAACAAAATCTATGAAAAAATAAAGAAGAATGAAATAAAAAATTTGATTAAAAATTTAAAATTAGATGAAATTTTAATTTTTACTTTTAATTTAATATATTTTAATAAACTGATAGCATAACGCGAGTCATTAAACCGAAATAAACACGTTTAGTTTAGCTTCGATACATAATGGGCAAAGCCGACTAGTTAATTAAAAGAAAAGCTAGCGTTTTCAAACAATGATTTTCATAGTTCATCCCCTCACAAATTATCATGGATTATAGTAGATGGGATGTTATTTTTTTTATTTTAAATTATTTTTAGATATTTATATTCGAAGTTTACATCATGTTTTTTTTTGGCTCCTGAAATTTTAACCTAAAATTTTGATTCTTAAGGCTTTTTGATCCACCGGCTTGCTTCGTAAGGCCAAGGCAAACACATAGGTCTACTTCTTTTTTTTTTTCCTCTCGCTTTTTTCTACTAATTTTTTTATTATTGAATTGAGTGTAAAAATTATGAAAAATCAATCTTTATTTTTTTCTATTCTTTTTTTTTCTTTAGTTTTTCCAACTAATTTATGTTTTTTATTATTGAATTGAGTATGAAAATTATTTTTTAAAAAAATAATTATTTCTTTCACACAAGCTGATGATTATAAAATATATACGATATAATTTTAAATTTTATAATAAATATTTATATAACAGATTTTATTACTTTTATTGTTTAAAATTGATCTCTTTAGTTTGCCGTTTCTTGTAAAAATTCTCATCAAATTAATTTTTTACTCTTTTTATGTATTTTTTTTTGTTAATAAATATGATTTATTTTCTCTCATGTATGGATTTTTGAACAAGTTTTTTTTAAAAAAATTATTTTTATTTGTTTATTTTTTATATAATAAAATTTTAAAAATAGAATTCACGTATTTTATTTAATAATTTCTTATATAATCAAATTTTATCGAGATTAATTTTGTAATTTTTTTATTGCTTTCTACTAACTTCAATATATTTTTTACAACTTAATTTTTTTTTTAAAAAAAAGGGTTTATAATGCACATTTGGACCCAATGAGTATGATCATAATGTATTAAAATATATATATATATTAAAGTTATTGATTTTATTAAAAAATAATTATGCCTCTACACTCATCACATCAACTATTTGCCATTATTTTTTTTATATTTTAAAATTAATTTCTTCAAATAAAATAATTACAATAATATTTTAAAAGCACCACCTAATAATTCAAATACAATTTTTATACTAAAATTATTCATTATTTTTTAAATAAATAATTATAAATCAAATGTACGTTTTTTTTATAAAAGAAAAAAACATTCTTCTCATCGGTATTAAAAAAGAATAAAAGGGATTCATGTATTAATTTTTATACTGATTTTTATATTAATTGTTGCTTAGATTATTTCTTCGATACAATGTTCTGAAAAAAATATATCTATTAAGCTTTTTTTTTAAAAAAATATATTTAGATTATTATCGATTTTTATTTAAGAATAAATACATTAAAACAATAAATTATGTTTTTTTTTAACTTTAAAATTTATTTAAAAAAAATAAGATGCAAAATGTTGATTGAAAATTATAAAATTAGAAAAAATTTTATTTTTAGTTTAATATATTTTTGTTGATGGTTAACATAATACATATTGTCGAATTGAATTAAATATGTTTAATTTGACTCAAAGCACAGCACGGAAAGCCAATTAGTAAGAAAGCCTAAAAAATTCAGGATAAATGAACATTGAATTACTGTTCATTGACCTCATATCACTATTCATTGACTATTCATTGTTAGTAGTTTTAGTAATTTACTACAGTAACATTTCCTTGATTTTTGAATAGTTTTGGGTTATTCATTTGCAAATTTTACTCTTTATTTCATTATGCTCCCTCCTTTTTTTCAAAAATATTTTTCCCCCATGCTTTTAAAAGATATTTTGGCACCATCATGGTTTTACCATCTTTCATTTTGATTCCTTATTTTTTTCAAAATATATTTTTGGTCTCTCATATTTTAAAAAGATGTTTTTGCCTTCTCACATTTTTAAATTTTAAAATAAAAATATATATCAAATTATATTATTGTTATTGTTTAAAATTAATCTTTTCAATTTGTTGTTTCTTATAGAAATTCTTATCATCAAATTAATTTTTAATTTTTTTATGTAATTTATTTGTTAATAAATATGAATTAATTTTCCTCTGTGTATGGATTTTCGATATGGATTTTTTTTTAAGAAATAATTAATTTAATAATAGAATTCACATGTTTCTTTGGCTTATTTTTGATATAATCAAAAAAATTTGGAATAAAATTTTAGTTTTTTTATTACACTCTATTAACTTTAATATATTCTTACAACGTAAGTTTTTTAAAAATATTTTTCATTTTATATTGCACACCACCCATTGAAAGTTAATTATGCATCTACACATATAACACTAATCATTTGCTATTAATTATTTCTAATATTCTAAAATTAATTTATTTCATATAAAATAATTAAAAAATATTTTAGAAGACCCGCCTAATAATTAAAATACATATTTTTATACTAATATTATTGATTTTTTTGTAAATAAATATATGTAAATCAAATGTACATATTTTCGAAAAAGTTAAAAAAAGATTTATTAGTTAATTTTTATTCAAATTTTATTATTGATTGTTGCTTAGATTCTTCCATATAATCTTATGAAAACAATAATAAGATGTTTTTTAAAATTTTATATTAAATTATCTATTTATATCATTATATATTTTTGTTTAAGAATGAATTCATGACAAAGAAAAATTGTGTTCTTTTGACAATAAAATCCACGAAGAAGAATGAATGAAATATAAAATTTGATGAAAAATTAAGATATTTTATCTTTTAGCTTTAATTTAATATATTTTAATAGAGGATATCATATTTTACCGAGGCATCTGTTTTTCTTTGTGGGTGCAGAACAAACTGGAAAGGATGCGGGCCCAAGCACAAGAGAGAGCACAGAAAAGAATAAACAAAGCAAGGAACGAGGCAAATAAGGCAGCAGTAAAGGCAAGAAAATCAACAATGAAGAAAGTACCAAAAATTGCAAAAGAATCTGAGATCCAAGGAACCAAGAAGCCAATTTGGCTTAATCTTTTGAAGTTGTGTCCCTAATATTTTCTTTAATCTCTTTTTATTCTTTAATATTTTTTATGAAAATGATTTGTTCCATTCTTTTGCAAACCATCGGATGAGTACTTTCCTTGTAGCACCAAACAAAGTAACTGGTTTTCTAAAATGAAAATAAAAAACTTACTGATTGACATCATGATTTACCTTTCATTGGAGGCATAAATAGCTATTCATGTTCATTTGCTGCAACAGAAGCAGATGCAAAAACAGTACCGAGCCACCAAACACGGCACGACTATATTTCTGGTTGGGTTTAACCAATCAGAGAGGCATAAGGAATTATGCATACAGTGGTCTGTACAATCGCTATGACAATAGACCTCTCAGCATCAAGGGAAAGTAGAAGACACAGTAGCAAAGTTGAACATTCAAGAAAATATCAACAATCACAAGAGAATCCAAGAACGTCCAGGGTACGATAAAGCTGATTACTGTAATGCCATACATTTTTACAGTATATTACACGTCAACATGATGCGAGAGAGATCTTCAACCACAGTGCCTAGAGTATGACCAATGGGAATTGATACAAAATGAATAGTACATATACAAAAGGGGGTTTTCGACCTCTAACGGTGGCAAAATGATTTGTCCCTGACCAATGAGTAATTTGAAAACTTCAATGTGCGCTCTCAGAAACCCAACTAGAGACCATACTGTCATCCATGGGCTTTAAGCCCCCGCATGATCTAGCAACTGATTCAAAAAGTTTCTCTATCTCTGGTGCACACCTTATGAAGGATCGATTCCAAAAGTTGTATCGAGGATTCTGCAGAATACACACAAATCAGTCTACAGAAGAAACCTGCAGTCAATTCAGATCATCCAATGCAATATTCTGAAGTGTGGTTCACCTTGATGAGCTCGATGAAAGTAATCAGAAGTCCCCATGGATGAGGTCGATTAACAATTAGGCGTTCCAAAAGGACTCTTGTAATCTGCTCTTGGATAATTTCCTGCTGATAGAAAAAACGAAATTATTAAACACATGCATTTCCATGCACCAAACTAAATAAATAACTTAATTCATTAAAAACTGCCTATTTCATATATTGTCCGAAATCTGGAAAAGAGGTCTTTCAAATACCACCATCTCTATACATGTTACCGAAGGCCTTCCATTAGGGCACTCATTGATATAAAAATATAAGGGGTTATACAAAAACCTAAGCAAGTCTCCCAGAGTCAAAAGAGATACCTCACAAAAAACAAGTTCATCATTTTTAGCATTAAAGGTCTAGAATGGACACTGACTCAAATTTAAATGCCATTTATGAAGCTATACAACAAAATTCAGTGATTCACGAGTGTACTAGACACTCAGTAACCGGATGGATGTGACAGGACAAAATAGAAGACATAATGGTCATCAAACAAAAGCCACATTTTACCTGGTTTGATTCAGCAAATAAGTAAAGCAAGACAAAAGAGAAGTAATGTGTATGGTTGTTTGGATAGCGCAGTTGATTGGCAACAGCATTTAGAAAGAGGTATCGTCCTTCAGTGTCCAGGTCGAGTATTAGTGTCTGGTAAATATCTAAAGCAGCATCCACCAAAAATACAGCTAAAGGAACGGTATTTCCTGCAGATTGTCCATGAGGTGTTCTAGCCTGCAGCTGCTGTATGGCCTGTATAACAATTCCCCAAAGATGAGCACTGAAGGACAATGCTTTCACATAAACTTCATTGAAGTCAAATTAATAAAATAAAATAAAATGGATTCATTGAATTGTCTCCTGCCCTTTTCTTTATAGGATCCCAACTGACAACTAAAAATCAAACAGAACTTCTGAATCTAAACACAACTAAAATGTCAACAAGGGACATCGATAGGGAAAAAAATGCAAGCGTTCTTAAGGTATTAGATTATTTCTCTAGCATGATATCGCCTTTGCATTAGAAAGATTCAAGTATATTTATCTCACAGCAAGAAAAAACTAAAATTGGCAAATCTGTAAGCTAAAATAAAACTAAGCTAAGCTTCCAAACATGTAAAGACAAAATAAGCCATACTATTTACTGATAACAGCAGATAGCCAGTGAGATGCCAAGAGGAAAACACAAGAAGAAAATGGCCAACTGAACAGTACCTGCATTCCAGCGTAAAGCACAAGGGAGTTGATCAAAGGCACATTATAGCGGGTTCCAGCAGATGCAGCTTCACTAGATGAAAGGAGCAATCTCTGCTTCAATTCAGTTAGGAATGAAGAACCCTGCTGCCTCGTCTGCAAAGAGTTCCGAATTAAATAGTTGAGAAGATAACACCAACAAGGATGACATCAAGACAATATACTGCAAATCAGGATGTGAATACTCATAATGGTGTGTAGTTTGAAGAATAAAACAGAATTGTGTGGTGCAAATGACTGCAGCAATTGAAAAAAGCAACAGATGTATATGAAGATGCATGAAAGGTATTGTGTAATTCATGAACCGGGAGTCGAAGCACATAAACAAGTGAAAATAGAATATACCTTGAGATATTCATCTACATCGGCTTTCATCTGCTTTGCTTTAAGAACAGCATCAACCTCAGAGAGAATGTGAGGAGGTTCCCTAATTTCCGGAAGCAAATCAATCTGAAAAAATGAACAAAGAACCAAACCCTCCGGGATCAATTTTCACAACCACAGAACTCATGAGAGGATACGTTAGATAAAAAAGAATATAATTAATAGACCTTTAAGTTGGGAGTAGATGGATCAGGCAGCCTCATATTGCGAGGGAAAGCACTAAGAACAATATTACGCATTTGTATGCAGCTTGGAGGAATCACATCACAGAAAGTAAAATGGTAATCACAAAGAAACTCGGGGAAATCATGCAGCAGCACCAAGAGAACCCTCAGTGTACCTTTATACAACAAGTGAACCTAAAAAGAAAAAAAAAAAGAACTAGATCAGACATTATATCAAATTTATAATGAGCTGCCAACAAGAAGGAAATGGAAGTGGCATACTGGCACTGCTAGCTCGGCATTCCTCAAGTAAGGCTCCAGGAACTGAAACAAGTCTACCAGCAATCGCTGGACATAGGGCCAGCCCTTCTGCGCGTTCACTGTGAGCAATCTTGGCATGAAACTCCTATGACTCACCAGTGAAAGCCATACATAGCTGCAGAAGCATTTTAACCAGATAAGGTATGCATCAAGGATAAGGGGAAAATAGAATTCTGAAAGTAATTGCCAACTCTAAATGGCTAATGTCCAAGGCATAGCAACTACAAGTAGGACAGATCAAAAACTAGATCTAATTGCTCGTAAGTTTCAAGAATCTGTGAATGGAGTGGAGAATAATGCACATTATTGAAAACAACTCCAAAGAAACCACCCCACATCACAATAACTCAACACTTCCAGTGTATTTCAAAGCAGTGGAAGCTTGTAAAAACGTGATATGGCATTATTATCCATCATGGCCACTGTTGATACTCAAATCTTTTTTCCAATGGAACAACTTAACAGAACTTAATACACCAGTCAAAAAAACCACAGCATTTAACAACACTTCAAAAATCCAACATTATCAATGGTAAAGCAGTACATTTGTTGTTGAAAGACGGGTTGAAACTGCATTCCTTATACTGTTGAAGCATTATTGTGAGCATACAAGAATGCTTGCCATGATATGCTGGATTAAGTACCATCAATATTAGAAATTCAGAAATCAATTTCTATGCTTTGTATTTTTAGGTGATTATCATTCTTGAAAACATTGTTTTTCAGAACTCTGATTTTGTTAATGGAATTCTTTCACTAGAGTCAAATTTGAGCTCTATTCTCCCCCTTTATCTTCCTTCTTTTGGCTTCTGTTTGGAAGGAGTAGGAAGGGAAGGGCTAGTCTTGTGAGATTAAGAATTGGAAGGATCATTGGCTATGGCCAAAGACTGATGGTTTTCTTTACTACTCATGGAACAAGCCTAAAGTTCAGAAATGGAATAGTTTTACACAAAAACCTTCCAAGTATCTTGGAGGGTGTAACTGAGGTCTGAAAGAGGTAACTTGCAAGTTAGCACAAATTCATCCAAGTATCCCACTTTAAGCCACGGTCTCCAACCCATATATTTGTGTCTGGATGTGCCGACAACTTTGAAAAATGGAGCTTGATATACTGTTTAGGATATTATTATATTGTCTAAGAGCTTATCAATAGCATTGGCTATTAGTTCCACAGTTCATAATGCTGACCTGAAACCAGGAACTTTAAGGGGCTGCAGATTATGGAATGCACCAGCAAAGGCTGTCAAGATCTGTAGCACATGCAATCAACATCAGCAAGCAAATACATCTTTGAAAAGACGTGATGATGTCTAAATGAATCCAAATAAGCAATACCTGAAAGTTTACACCATCAATAACAGGCTCTGGGGAAAGGAGGTCTTGAAGCCAACTTATAAACAATCTGAAATATGGTCTCGCATTAAAAGAATTTTTCTTCCCCTCTGAATCCCTTTGTATGAATTTCACAGCAACGGCCAAAATCTGTTGAAATACCATAAACATTGTATACAAAATATAAGGCGAACAAAAAACAAAGAGTAACAGTAGTGATTTATCTGCGAGAGAGAATTATAACGATCTCAGCATAACTCAAAAATACAACCCCTATGAACAAGATTCACCTTCGACAAAAGAAAGAGTTTATGCGATCCCTGCTCCACCTGACAAGACAAGAAATATGAAATGAAAGACCTTACAACATCGTAAACTAAACACAAGACCAAAGGAAAACTGAAAATGCTGTTAATAAGCAGAAAAGTTTACCTTTAGGATTGAAAAGACCAATTTTGCATAAATATCAATTGCAAGGAAGGAGAGACCCTGCACTGGCTGAGGTGATTGCAGTGCACTGGAATTGATCACCTCAGAGGACAAGCAGTGCGCAACAGAAAGATCCTGAAATATTTTGTAGAAATTATAAATATGCATCTTCACCATTATTCCTGAAATATAAGTTCAGAGGAAAGAAAGTACCATGAGTACACGGAAAAAGCGATCTGTCATCTCGTCCCCCTTCAATAATCCATTTTGATGCAGCTGGAAGATGTAATGGGTAGAAGCTGCATCATTTGCACCAGGAAGTTCACAAATCCGGTACCATTCCGCAAAAAGCATGGAAACCTACATTACATAAGAACAATATAAAAATTTGAAAAATACCAGATAAGTACTCGGAATTTTCTTATACATACTCCCCAACTAATAAAGCAAACAGAAGATGATGTCACAAGGAAGATAGAAGTCATCAATATGCGATGTATGTGTTGCGTAAGCGAGGGGGAGAGAGACCAATGTATTTTAAATTCTTTTTACTCTCAGCAAGATCACATGGTCCCTTAAAGTTTCAATTATCTTCCAAGAAATGGCCTTAGAGAAGTTTACAACACTTCTATCAATCTCGAAAAACAAGTGGCCTTGCATTGAACTCTATCAGAGACCAACATGTTTCTCAGAAATACAGCAAGCTAACAAGCAGTTGACTTCCTCTAATAGTGTAAAAAAACCGTTTGCAGATTCCAGTTAGAGGAAAATCAAGAGTCCACAACTTCTCATATAACTATTTAAGCTCAGGGTACCTGCTCACGAAAACCTTCTGGTTCCACAGATTCAACGTTGCTAAAGTCTTCCCTGTTAGCTATCAACTGATTGGTAGGCTGTTTCAACAAAAATATGAAGCTTCAGAATCAGACCAAGCACACAAGGGAGTGAAATATAAACCATGGCATCTTCACAGACCTTCTTGTCTCTAGACTGTCTTGCCTTGTCCTCCTTTCCAAGAGCTAAACTAGTTAGAGAAGCTGCATTGGCACCAGGATTCCTAACAATCTCAATCAGCTGCTGTAATGACTCGGCAGATCCAGGTTTTGCGGCAAGCTGCAAGTAAGAATCATTAACAAAAGTCAAACAAACCACCATGCAATGAACTCTAACATAAAGATATAAGAATACGACCTTGGCCAGTGCATCAACAAGATTGTGGAGTTCAGAGATGACATTGGATTCTTCAACAACCAAAGCTTGGATAAGGGAAATGGCAAAGTCCGTTGCAGCCTCTGTACAATTTATGGAATTAGTAATCAAATCAAGTGCAATAATGCCTACTCTATACAAGAAGAATTCCTTGGACGTACTATTCCTTCCACCATCGATAAGTTTTGCCATATGAACATTGTACTCTGCAAGATTCAGCAATTCACTGCGTATCAGGCCAAAGGTAATATCTTTATTAAACTTTCGCTCCTCATCTGAGTAAACCACCTGTAAGAAATAGTAGAAAACTGACATAAGTAACATGCACAAATGCAAATAGAAGAGCAATTAAACAACACCCAGACAATAAAATCTTGATATCATCCGAATTAAAATAGGTAGAATATAAGTTACTGCAACTGGGCATTGAACTCATTATGCTACCCAAGTTCATAACTACCATACAACAGAGCTAGAGAATGTCATGTGTAACCTTAAATTATGTAAAAATTGAGTCAGGCATACCCAGCTAGTGAGTTCTTTAACCACGAGCTTGCACACATCACGAATAGCAGAAAGAATAGCGAGGCAAGCATTAACATGAAAATCATTTGATGCATTCTCATATAAACCCTTGAAAACCTGTATGAAAGGGGAAAAAAATTCATTCAAAACATAGAAAAAACTGTAAGCAATTGTTCATTTCAATGGATAGCAGCGAGCTGAAATCAATTGAAAACAAAATGCAACCAAGATGGCCAGACTATAAACCATCACATAACTAGTCACAGCAAAAGGAAGCGTACCTTTTGTGCCACAGCCAAGGCAGCCTCATCTCGACTGACACATCTGAGTATGATTTCAGGAACCTCAGCAACTACCCCCTGAACACCAAAAATACAGTTGTATTTTAGATAAAACAGGAAAATTCACATAAAACAATAAGAGATGAAAAAGGATTAGGTGTGGGCAAAAGAATATAATTGACAACACAGCTATATCACCAAATAGTGAAAAAAGATACAAACTTAGGTGATGGTCAAGAATGTGAAAATTGGTGATAACACATACCAAAAGGAAATGAAAAAACAGTACCTGGATTTCAGCTTCTCTAGAATCACTAGTTACCAAGGTCTCCAACTGAAACCATTTAAGACGCGATATCAGCAGAAGAATATAACCACTTTTAATGCAACAACCAAAAATGCGAGGAAAAAAAAAACAGAGAGAGAAGATCAAACATCATTGCAACACTCACATCACCGAGGCCTCTGGTTAAAATTACATCCCCTATCCCTTAACCTAATTGGAAGGACAAAATGTTGACCAGATATATATGCATTCTCTCCCAAACCCATGGCCAAAAGGAAAGACAAATGCATCTTACAAAAAATGAACATGCATACTATGCATAAACTATTCTCTTGCTCTGAAACACAAGAATCAATAGACCAGACGGGGCAAATGAGACACAAACAAAAGGACTCGAAGCAACCTTCTGAGCAATAATATGGTACTTGTCCAATGCATCCCTAGTGTTCAGTGAAGCATCTGCAGTGCTACTCCCAACACGCTCAGACGCAGCTGACGAAGACAGTTGAGAAGAAACTCCCAATTCCTTCAAACAAAAAAGAACCACAAATTATACAAAATAAAAAGGAAAAACAAAGAAGAACGACCCCAAGCACAAAAAAACAGCATCAGCAAAAAATCCTCCAACCTTTACTACATCTGAGGATTCCACTGGATTAAGTTCAGAGGACGAAGCTGTAGCAGAAAATGAAGCACTGATGGAGTTGTTTTCAGAACTTTGTGGGATAACTCCATCAGCTGCTGCACTATGAATTGAAGAAGCACTGAAATGTAAAATCCAGAATTTCAAAAGGTCAGCAATTCAAAATTTTGAAAATCAGAAATATCAAGTACCAATCAATAACAATAGAACACCTAAGAAGTGCTGCTGAATTAGATTCAATAGCTTCAGAAGCCACATCCAATGAAACTGAACCATATGCACTAGCAAGACCAGTAGCAGCAGAAGAAACAGAACCCGTAGGATTGACATGTGAGCTCTGGCTAGATTGGTTTTGCCATGGAAGCCGAACAAAATCCTGCACACAAGTGGGGGAAGGATTTTAAGGAGGGGACTAGCTTTTTAAGTGCTTTCTTTCTTGGAACCAAATGTACCACATGGAGAAGATCAACATGCATATACCTCATAAACTCGCTGTTGAGAGACAGATAAGTGACCGGGCTTGGGGCGAAGGGCCTCAGGTACAACACCCATAGAACTTTGGGAATACATGTTAGCATCAAAAAATGTTTGACCAACACCATCTCTATGCTTCCTTCTTAATAGTTGTTGAGCTATTTCTGTGTCAATGGTTTGTATGGCCTACATGGAACATTATTCCATTAAAAATCTGTGACAAGAGGACTAAACTAATCTACCACATTTCTGATCAAATAGCGCAAGCCATTTAGAGGTGATATCCTGCATACCAAGATTGGTTCTTCCTAAATAACAGAAAGTACAATAATAGAATGAAAAGTAAGAACATGACGGGGAATAAGGATAAGCAACCTTCAAGTCAGGGACCAAGAACAATAGCCAACAACAAAAAATACCAAAGCAAAACCCTTCCAAAATAGAACTTAAAGCTCCTGAAAGTATTGTAGAAACAAAGTTCCGCATGGAAGGCAAAAAGGCTACTCAATACCACAACTGCCTCAAATGTGACTAATTTTTAAGATTCTGGAATTTCATTCCATCAAACAAACTGTTTAGTGCTCCTAAAAATCAAGCAGTTGAACATATCCTACTCTTCTTGAGTAACTTCATATAAAACCATGCTGTATTGCTCGGACTCACCACTTCGCCCAGTCATACCTGTGTCAACACGACAGGAGTAACTTGGGACCCAGTGACAACTTGCTTATCAATCTTGACAGCACTTCAAAGAGGGTTTCAAGATAATAACAAGGGGGCTTAAGTCAGAGGTAAAGAATGTAAGCAAAACAGTAGCATTCCAAGTATTTGGATTACAAAGCCCAGTTGTTTTGTGACTTTAAATGGCCCAAAAATTAAGTGCTTTATCATAAATAAGGAAGCACAACACTTTTGTACTAACCTAACTAAATAGAGCCCAGGTGAAAAAAATGCCCAATTCAAAACGAATCTTTTTCCTCCCAAGTACAAAATCCCATATTTTAAAAGTAGATCTATAGAAGGATATTCATTCCAAACATATTTCCTTACTCATATCCAAATTTTGAACACTTTTTGAGTCATCATATCCTAAATCCAAAATTTGACAATTTTGACACTTGGATCCCAGTCTGCATCTGATACGCATAAGCAAGTCTGAGCAACATAGCCAAGGATACATGCCACTGCTCATCAAACACAAACAAAAAGTGCTTCTAAGAAACATCCTAACTAACCCTTGCCTACTTTAAGCTGCCTATGGGATCTGACACAAGCACCACAAATGAGGGAGAGAACTCGTTAATGAGCGCAGACATTGGATATATAATTTACACACATGGCACATCACTCAAGACTATAAACAGCCCAAAAAGAAGAGGAAGATAATGAAATAGATGTAAATCAAAGCTAAAAAGGAACCTTATCTGTGGCAGCCTGTTCAATCACTGCACACCCAAGATCAAGGTTGTCGTTGGTAACAAGTTGCACAGCATGCTCCAGAATTTCACTTGTTAAAGAGAAACCCTGAACTGAATTCCTTAGCTGACTTGATATTGAACTACGTAATGGCTCCTGGCAAACAGACAGAACACCAATTTACTAAACTGAGAAGAACAAATATCAGATAAATGATCTTGCTTCCAGTTCCAAAAAAAACAAAGAGAGAGAAGCTAAAAAGTTCTGTGAAAGAAAAAAACCTTGCATGTTACATGAGCTAAGCTTCCAGCTAGACTGGCAACCATTAAGTGTGCTGCGTTATAAATTCGTGTTTCATCGGATTCAATGGCATAATCCTATAATTGAATAAAACATGAAGGGAAGGTATCAGAACATATCTTGAGAAATAAGACTGGTAAAAGATTCTATAATATGTGTATATATTTGATTCAAGCTAACAATGCTGTGATTAGAGACAAAATATGGATGGTTCAGCAAGCAAAGAAGAGAGAATTTTGATCGAGACAATAAGGGATGAACTAAAAGAATGTGCCTAAAGAGCTTGCTGCCAAGGTACATGCAGCAAGCTCCAATATGAGGGATCCAATGCTTTGTTTAGTTCAACATACAAACCTTTAGAACAAGCTCTTTTGTTGTCTGAGTTGCAATAGAAACACTTCGCTGAACAATACCAGACACAATATCTTTGATAGCTCTATCCATTACAGCAGGAACCAGTCTGTCGTCGTTGATGAGATAAAGATCGTCAAAGAAACATAAACTAATGTAACTACAAAGCATGATAATAGTAATGTAGAACAGTTTGAACCTTTGAAAATGCACATGCAAGCCCCAAGAATTTAGTTTCTGATTGATAATAACATGAGTTCCGATGTTGGGAATTGCTGTAGGAAGCTGAAAATGAAAGAGAACTTGCAAATTAGAGACAAAGAAGTCAGTCTTTTGTTAGACTATGAGCAAATGAACTTCAACCGCACCTGACTAGCAGAAAAAGTGGACTGGGATGGAGTAGCTTGGAATAGAGCTTGTGCAGAAGGGAGCTGATCAGACAACCCTAATGCAGCTAGTTTTTCATCCTCCATCAACGTACCCGAAGAAAGATGAACAGGAGAGGTATACTGAAGACACCAAGCAGATTAGACTTCAGAAATATTCAACAATACTGCTTAGACAAAAAATAGAAAACCAAATGCACACCAACCTGCGACAACAAATGAGTATGACCACTAGAATTAGGTGGACTTGCAACCTCAAGTGGTAGCTCTACGTGATTTAGTGGAGATAAAATTCCAGACTTAACTTCAGGAACCATCTGTGGTTGGGATACTCCAACATCTTTATTGGAAAAATCAGGATTCCCTTCAATTTCCCTTTTCCGATCCTTCAGAAGAGAAGTTGGTGCTATGTCCTTCATATCTACACCAAGGTTCTTGAACAAGACCTGAAGTGCCAAAAGAAAATCAATGATAACCAACAAAACACAGCCTTGTGTTTGTAAAGCTTCTATAGCAAAAGAATAGTCCACATGTTTGTGCAAGTCAGTGCTCATGGTATCCCTATACCTCTATGTCAAATTTGAGGTTCATTTTCAAGTTTGGCATTGAGTAGATCTCAGCCAGCAATCCAAGAATGCCCATGGTCCAAGGATTAGGAGGTTGGTATGCTAGACTGCTTTGGCATGGCTCCAGAATCTACAGCAACAGAATGTAAGAATTACACAAGCAATTAAATTCAGAGACATTCAATAGTCAACATGTGTACCTTGGATGTAAATGGTATAACTGCTATCATCAATCCTTTCTCATATGCCTGGCCAATTACAAGATTAACTAAAGTAAGCATATGATTCTCAAATGGCAAAAAGCAAAGACGAAAAAGAAAGATCCAATGAGACTTGTTACTATAGAAGAACACTGGGTCTCCATGTATGAGAATTACCTCTATGATCAAAGATTTAGGATCTATTTCACGTGCCCTTAGCACTTGGTTTCTTCCAATAGTTAATTTCCCAAGCCAGCTTCCCAAATTTTTCAGCAATGAACGCTCTTCTGAACTAGATTTTATAAGCTCTGATCCCAAAAGAACCTGAAACAGAACAAAAGGTAATACTGATCTATTCTACTTCTAAACTGAAAAAGACTTATCCATGCCACTTGATTTTCCATAAAGGAAATTGTTTAACAGTGTCTGATGCACAAAGTAGTTACATATCATGACACAAACCTTGCAATTTTCATATGTTGCTTGGACAATCTCCTTATTTAAAGCTTTTGAATTAAGCTTATCAAGGAACTTCAAGTACAAATCATGAAAATTGGGTTCAATGCTTGCTCTGCATGAAAATATCAACCAAGACCAATAAGGAAGAGGCAACAACACACATAATTAACATATTACATAGACAAGTACATAAATATGCATAGAAACATTTACACACACTATAGAATTGGGAAAGGAAAATTTAGAAAGGCTTCTAACCTTTTCATGACCATGTACTGGGCAAACCAGGGATAGTACTGCTCCTTCAGTATTTCAGTGAATTCTTTTGCTTTAGCTTCAACATTTGCAACTGAAATATTATTAATTATGAATGATATTTTGTCCTGAATCTCTGATCCTGGAGCCTGTAAGCAAAAAGTGAAACCAGATAACTACAGCACACGAAAAAATGAAACCATCCAGCAACCTGACTACTTTTTTTTTTTTTTGTGAAGAATATATTATTAGAAAGAGAAGCTGAAGAAATTACAAATAAAAGTCTAGGCGATCCTTCATATCAGGAACAAATAAGAAAACAAAACAATATGAGGAGAAATTAATGAGAAAAAGAACTTCGCAATGTTAAAGGCATCACGGGGAAAAATTCCTGGAAGCAGAACCCTATGATAAGACCGAAATTAGAAAATATCCCACAACAGCTTCTTCAAAAGTAATTCTTTGAAAAGTCTCTAATTTCACCATAGAAATATTCAAGATTTAAGAAGCATTCTATTTCCTAAAGCCAACAAATGCACGGGTAAAAAAATCCTCTACCCACTTGGGAATACCCACCTATTTATCCAACAAAAGTAAATAGCTATGCAATAACCTTATAAGCCAGCCATACAGGGAAAGCCACCCAAACGCTAGAAAAAGATGACATTTATCATTACATAACGTGCAGTGCCCCTCATAATTCATAATTGTGTGACCACCAATAACCAAGGCTCATTGAAAAGCAAGATTCCGGGAAATCTCACAAACTAACAGTTAAAATAGATTGCTCAAAGCATAACCCCTCATGAATAACAAATAGCCACTGTACTTTGAAGGCTTCAAATAACAACCATTTTACGAAACTCGCAAACTTCTTAAGAATAGAGGAGCCCCATTCAAAGTTTGATGCTTAAAAAAAAAAAAAAAAAATCTTTCCCAAAGACATTATACGTTATCAGCATAAGGTATGAGGATATTAGTTAAAACATCTCTTGATGACTAAAATTAATAGGGATAAACCACGCAGTAGCTGATGTGTTGAATTTCATACTTATAGAGGACATCTCTACAGAAACAAATGAATGCTAAAATACGCCTCCATACATATGTAATAAATGCTACCACTTAAGTGAGTTAAAAACAAAACATTGTACCTCTATTGGTGTTTCTCTTCTCTCTGCAGCAGCTACAAGTGTTTCGATGTTCAAAGCAGAGCCAAACCCTGTATTAAATAACAATTCGTATGTAATGCTGATAAAGGCATCTCTAAAACAATTGATGCATGACAGATTAATGTAAAAAAGAAAAGTTTAGGATCATTAATGTGCTTACTGGTAGAGGTAACTCCTCGGGAAGGACGGACAAAACCAGGTGAAGAAGACAACAACGCCGAAGAAGAAACTGTATTCTGCAATCACAACTTAAGGATAAGAGAAGAACGGTGGGAATGAAATTCAAATATTGACATCAAACTAATTAGTAGTGTAAGCTACCTTCTGAACAATAGAAGCATCACTTGAAGCAACTGAAGATTGCCCACTGGAAGATGGAAATTGTTTAATGTCATTAAATGGAACTGCAGATGCTTTCAGACGGTCATCAAGTGAACTTTCATGTCTCTGTTGACTGTATAGTGCAGAGGAAGGTTGCAGCCCAGGCTGTGGAATGCTAATGCTATTTGACTGCAATAACGGCACAAGGTTAGAGAACAAAACTACAAAGGCTGTAGAGACTATTGCTTAGTTTGACCAATTAGTTTAGCCCTAGTTGAGTTGCAGGGTTGTAGGCTCATATAACAGTGTCATAGAGCTCCCAGTCCACAAACATATTTGCAATAAAAGCAGTAATAAATTGGTGCAATAGTGACAGGAAGCTGGAGATATGATCGTCCTAGCGAGAAGCAGATGCAGAGATGGTGGTGCCAAGTGTGTCACTAACATGCAAATTAGAAGTTTTTACCTGATCATGACACACCAGCTCAAGATGTCCACAATCACCTTAATTTTATTTCTTTAGGAGGTAGTCAAAATACAGGATATTAGTTGAAGCACTAAATATCCTGGAGGAAAGTTATGAGAGATCTGACGCAGCTGGTATATTCACAATAGACGATATACAATGCCAGGATTTATCAAAGCTGGAATCAATGGTTGGAAATAAAATGGAAAGGAGCATCAGATGGACAATAAGTTGTATATTTCACATAAAGCGATGGACAAGCATGTGTGCCCAAACTCTAGCTCTCCCTGACACAACTGCACTGACTGACCACCAAATTGCTGTTGCTACTGCAAATTTGTATGTGGATTAAAAATAAAAGTGTTTCTAACAAAATTTAATAAATTCCACCATCCTCAACAAACTAAATTTCATGTGAAATTTTTTCAAAATATCTCAGATGGAACCCTTGCCAAAAATTCATGTATCTAGTTCCCATCAGTTTCAACAAACAAGGTTTGATGTCAAATATCTTTTGACCATCTCAGATGGTAACCTTGTAAAACATTCATGGATCTAGATAAAAATATGAAAACAAAAGGACAGAAGGAGAGAGCGCAAAATCTAGGTTAAAAAAAAAAAAATTCTTACCTCTCCATTTAACAAGGCAGCCTGAGACAAACCATGATGATGAGCAGCAGAAGCATTGTTAGTGCCATCTGGTTCCAAATGCCCTGATGAAATCCTGGCAAGTGCTCGTTCAATGAAAGCAACAAGCTCAGTATGAGTACCGCGCAGATGAGATATTTGTAAGATATGATTGCAATACTGCGGCCATTCGATCAACCTATCCACAAACTGCTCCAAAGCCTTGGTCCCAAACACAAACATCTGCAAACAGTGATCATTGGCAACATTATAGACACACATATATACATATAAAGTTTTAAGGTCGCTTAGGGATGATGCAGACTTTGGAATCTGGAGGTTTGCGAAGCGCATCTAAAACACCACGCAAGGCAATCCCAAGAGTGAGATGAGTAACAAGCTGGTGCTTGATAACAGAACCTGAAATATAATTCACAACCATGACCACATAAATCTTCTGAAACATTCCAAATCACACTTACTTGCATAATTGTATAAATCTCAAGATTACTTGAATGGTTATTCAACAAACACTCAAACTCCAAGTCATGCAAGTTTTCACCGCTTTTTATTCCACATGCTACCAAAATGCAAATTCAAGTAGCAATCACAAGCAAACAGATATCTGATTTTATAATTTGATCTTCATTCATGCAGTATGCAATCAGCTTCTTTCAATCAAGTAGTGAGCAATCATCTAACAGACAATATCCTAGCATTAATGCTGCAATTTCTACAAAGGGACCCTGTTCTAAACAAGGAAATACATGCAAAAACCCCAAGCTCGTGAAGGGACAAAAGGAGTAGGCTCGATATAATATAGCACAGTTAAAATTGTACAGGCTGCATGCAAACTCGAGCTCTTAAGCATAACTGTTAAGACTAAAGCCAATCAGAGTAACTTGATGCCAAGCATTTGACTAGAAGACTAGAAAGATAAGTGATGCTATTAACTTTAAACTCTGAGACGAAGCTCACCAAAAAGAAGAGCAGCAATTTTCAGTTGCCTTTCTGGATACTTAGGGAAGAATCTATATTCTTCAAATAGATTGCCAATCATGCACTCGAAAATCAATTGTTCCCTGTCAGTGATTTCAACAAGTCATTAGTCTTACCCCTGATATCAAAACTCTGTGATGGTGGCCTACCAACAAAGTAAAATATTAAACACCGAAATGCTCAAATGAGCATCACATAAAATCATCTAAAACTAAGATGTTACTGGTACAAAAAAGTATCATTGGCTTTCACACATAGACAAGTCGTGACTATTGCTCATACTTGTCCATCAAAAAACACTAATAAAATAACTACAATCATTTCAGTTGCTTGGAGGAGATACAGACAATGCATATTAAATATACGATTTGGGATAAATGAACAAAATATGGAGCATAAATCAAGCATGCATAACTCTTCCCCAAAAATTATTATAGGTAGAATAATTTTAAAGTTGACTTTCAACACTCTCTAAGGGCACATTTATTATAGCTATCATCAAAAAAACCCTAGGCTATAGTTCAGTATTTTTGACTACTGATGAAATTGAAGAATAAAAGACGTAGTAAGAATTCCAAAGAAGCAAACCCTTTTAAAGATTAACATTATACCTTTTCACTGAAGATTCCTTGAATCGAGCAAGCATTTGAACCATTGCATCAATTGTCAGCTGACCAGAAAACATTTGATGGAAATAAGAGTTTGCCTCTGCCTCAACATCATCCGAAAACCCATCAGGGGTAGATGAATCTGCTGAGCTACCATTTTGCAGCCTCGGATTAGAGTCCATAACTGTTGCATGCAATCTCTCCATTTCCTCAGAAAGTTGGGTAGAGATAATTAAACTGGTGTGGGCTTTAAGGACCTGCAAAATATGCAGAGATTTAGAAAATCGCCCTGCAATTGTATGGAGAAGACCAGAATAAATTAAGTGTAGAAGTAGGAACCTTCAGGAATGATGAACTAGTCTCTGAATAAAGATTCACAATATTACTTTGATGATGAAAAGGTTTGGCAGAAAAATCCTGTGATCCACCAAGCTGAATCTCCTTCAGAAACTTGAGACATTCCTGCAAAGTTGAAAAATGTACACAAATATGTCATGCCTGGCTGTGTCCATAACTAAACTTTAATTTCACTATACCATAGTAACGCCACATTTAGAATTCCCAAGATAAGATTTGGCAAGACTACTAAGAGTATTGGGACCTTGATGAGGAGTTTGGAAGTACAGATGAACATTACCTCAAAGAATGAATCCTTGTATGTAATTAAATTATTACTCAGCCACTTTTCGAGGTCTAAAAGCTCTTTTCTTGAAGCAAGGGCTGCTAATCTGATACCAGAAGGAAAGGGAATCATGTCTAATACTGATGACAAAATCTGCAAGAAGGAACAAGAAATATGAGCTAAAAATGAATCATACACAAAACGAGCAACAAAGAAACATAACTAAAAGATGAATCCAGACATAATCATATCAGTAAGAATACTACAAGATTATGGCAAAAGTTCCCAAAAAAAGGCAGCTTTAAAATTTTGGAGGAGATGACAGAATGTAGGCATTCTTATTAAAGCAACAATGTGGAAGGCATGATTAGATCGAAAAGCAAGTCATGAATTCTCTCCATTTACCTTAAGCTCTTGACATACATCCAATATCTTGATCATGATGTTTGGTTCAACATTGTGAGCACCTACAAATCCCCGCAACACCAGATTAGGGTTCAGATGCCACAGGTAAAGCATCATACCACCACCAGCAGGGCTTTTGACTATAAGAGGGAAAACGGTAAAAGACACTTCGTATTGGAGGAGGCTATAGGCAGTCTGCAATAAGAGAGGTAAAATTGATCAGCCAAATGAATATGTAGTATATAATTCCATGAATCATGAACGAAACAAGAGAAGTACATTGATATGGGCCATTCCAAGAAGCAACAATTCTGGACAGTGTTTGAGAGGATACTCAAGCATTGATCGAACAGAACTAGCATGACCCCTCTCAGCCAGTTGACAAAGCACATCCAAAAGGTCAAGACACAACCATGCATGATTAGCATGCCCAACTTGGAGCTTATGACCATGCACAGCATCAATATAGTTCTGCAAGAATAGCAGATAACTAGTCATAATCAGAACAGGGGTTACCTCAGAATAGAAGTGAAAAACGGATAGAAAAGCACCATACCAGCTGCCTTCCAGAATGGGCAAAGGTGAACACTTCTGGTGGTGCCAGTATTGCATTTTTCAGAAAAGATAGTTGACCTTCGGTATTCTTCCAAAGAGACCCACAGACTGCATGGAGAGGGAATGGATCCTACAAAGATCAAAATACAGATTCAGAAAAGGCAAACAAACATCTTGAAATGAATCCAATAGTGCATGCATTCCACATTTTAAGAAGATATACCTGGCATGCCTGTCTATATACAGACATCAGAAAGGAGAATGCCTCCTCATTAGCTACGTAAAATCCTTCATGATCTAGATTTTTGATAACTTGAATCCAGTTAGTACCAGGAGCCTGTACGAAGCACACATGCAATATTTTTAAGGAATTTTTAAACATACTAGCAAATGTCACATTTAAAACAAAACATGAGGATAATAAGAACAGAACCGAACTCACAAGTTGCTTGATTGTTTTCACAAGGATGTCAATGTCCCAGGAGCTTAACTGTGGAAGATCAGTGGCAATGTTACAACCAAGAGCCAAGCCAAACGTTGAAAATGTGCTCTGGTTGTCCTCAAGACCGGTAAGATTGCGGGCAATTGTTCCAAGTATCTTAGAGATGGTAACTTCTGACAGTGGCAGAAAAGGAGATAATATTTCTTTGCAGTGCAATGCATCAAATGTGCATCCATAGCCTAACTCTTTCACAATATCTCCCAAGCTCATCTCTTTCTCCATTTCAGCTAAAATAGCATCAAATTCACTCTCTGTGCCTCCATGCAAGATATCCATATTTCTGCAATACCAAAGAAAGGAGCACATTGCATGAGTTACAGACCACAGAGCTTTACCCTCATAGTCAATTACTAAGCCAAAAAAGAGAAAAGACCACCTCAAAAAATTGGCCTCGCGCATTTCATCAGAAATCAATGGAGTTAAAACAAATGGGATAACATCTTTCGACTGCATTAATGACAACATCTGCATAAAGTTATCAACATGCTTGGAAAACCCCTCAGACCGCTGGAGGAACATAACAATATTCTGAATTTGCTCAACAGAATTTATCGGAACAGGATTCGCACACAATTCCTCAATTTGAGCCATACAAAACTTCTTTGCTGAAAAACCAACAACTCCATCAACAAATGCACTCTAAACTTTCAAGCCAATAAAGTGGCAAAAAAAGAGTATTAAACCAACAACTCACCAAACATCCTGGTATCAGCATTATCTGAATCAGAGAGTGCGAGACCAATACCAATTTTCTCAGCCACAGATAACTTCAATAAATTAGACAAATTCTCTAAGAAATCTTCAGTGATCTCCAAACTTTAAAGACTGACAAAACACAGTAGCAAAATTTGGTTTGTCCAAAACAAACTTGAAAACCGAAACAAGTACAGGTTCCAACTGCATGTTTTTCAAGTCGGTCTTCAAATATTCCAAACATGTTTCGAGCGTCAAAATACTTCCTTCAATTCCATACTCCATGAACTGCGTTAAATCAATAACACCCAAACAAAAACTCTTAAAAAGTCACGAACGAATGATTAAATTTTAAAATAATACCTCAATTTTAACCTAGGAATAACTAAATTAAACTTGCAAACTTTAAATAATTTCTTATTTAATTAAAAGCTACTCCAGTTAGACAGAGTGAGATTTTAGGGTATTTTGAAAAAAAAATAAACAAATGAGTGAGAAATGAGCGATCGATTGCAAAATTAGGGAAAATAAAGCAATGTAAAGAGAGTACCTGACAGAGATCACGAAAGACGGAGTCGACATTGGCTTCGTCCAAGGAGCAAAGAAGGAACCGAATCTGACTGGGTATTGTTGAAGATAGCTCAATCATGGCGACGGACTCGGTGAGTGAGAGGTAGATTAGGGTTTTTTCAGGTTTTTTTATTTTTTTGGTTTTACAGTGAGAGAGAAAGCAAGGGCTGGTGGTTTTGAAGATTTACACGAAAGGCGAAATGCGAAAGGAGAGAGAGAGAAAGGTGTTTTGTGTGTCGAGTGGAATATTTTAGAGCAAGAGACAAGTGGGTTGTTAGTCTGGGTTACGTGTTGTTCACCCTGGGGTGTAGGTGAGGATGAATATGTCGACTTGTTCACATGCCACGTCGCGGGTAAATATGGTTAGGGTTTCTCTTGGGTTACAGTAGGAGCGTCCTTGAAATAATTTCTGGTTTTGAAAATAAAAAACGATTTTTTTATTATTATTGTCAAAAACATAGAAATCCAATAGACAGTTGATAATTTTTTAAAAAATGATCAAAATGGATTTAAAAAATTATGGTGGTAGTTGATGTTTTTTGTTTTTTTTTTTTAAGAAAAACCCAAAACCAATGTATTATGTGGGTTGAAGAGTTAAACTTATAATGTTTACTTATCAAATCATCCTTTAACTTTTTTTATTTTTTATATTTCTCAAAAATGTCAAATATGAGTCATCGTCTAAAACTATACACCGTTTTAGAATAAAAATCACATGTTCTTCTACCATATGATGCTAGATAAAGCAACTTTTCTACAATATATTTGGCTAAGTTAATACTTTTATTTCAAGTTTTGGTGTTATATCAACCTTTCACATGGCATCTCCATTTAAATTAACTAAAATTTGTTAGTTAACTAATTTAAGGATTTGTTAGTTAACGATTTTGATCGTGTGATGTATCAATTGTTGATGGAATGTGAGAATGATTTTTCTAAATAACAAACAAGAATATTTACTATAAAACTAAAACAATTAAGATTTATCAATAGTTTGTTGTTGTAGCTTGTGTTTTTTTTTTTTTTTTTTTTGTAATTTTCAAGTTATTTCATTTTGGTTCCTAAAATTTTAAAATACAAATTTTAATTTTCTAACTAATGTACTACACATGCCTTTTTTTTTCCTTTGGTTTTTTTCTTTGTTCTTTTCCATCAATTTACGTTCTTTTTTTTATTTAATTGGGAGTCAAAATTTTGAAAAATTAATTTTTTCTTTGTTTTTTCATCAATTTATGTTCTTTTTTCTTAATTGGGTGTTAAAATTTTAAACAATCAATGGTAATTTTTTTTCACACTATCCGATGATTATATAATATATCTTTTTTATATTTTAAAATTAATATATACTTCGACTTAAATTACTCTCTCTTATCATTTAAATTTCATTATTTGAATTTATCATTTTTTTATTAAAATTCTCATTCAATTAATATTTTTTATAGAAAATTTTATTTACTGATATTATATAATTTATTTTTCTCTATGTTTAGAATAAATTGGTATAATATATATCATGAATTCTTAGAATTTTTAAATAATAGTTACATATATATAAATATATAATTATTTTTTTACAAAATGTTAATAGTGTATTTTAAATAATTTGTCTCATATCAAGACGTATAAAAAAATTATCGAATCGTTGATTTTATTAAAAATTAACTATATATCTTTCAACATAATACAAATTATTTACTATATATACTTTTTTAACATTATAGAGCAAATTTATTTGAAATAAAATAATTAAAATGATTTTTTAAAGGAACCAACCACTTATTCAAATATTGTTTCTTATGCTAATTTTATTGATTATTTTGTAAATAAATATATATAAATCAAATGCATATACTTGGAAGAAAAAATAATCTTATCACCAACATTAAATAAAAATAAAATTTTATTTTTTCATTGTTTATTTTTATGTAAGACTATAAATTAATTGTAACTTTATTTTTTTGGATACATTCTTATAAAAAAATATAATTTTAAAGTATTTATTTTTGAATTCTTAATTAATATTTTAGGTTTAAATTATTACAAGTTTTTATTTAAGAATCCTTGAATAACAAATAATTAATCATGTTTTTTTAAGCAAAAATTTTATGAAAAAACACAAAAAATACTAATAATTAAATAAAAAAATTATAACATTTTAAAATTATTTTGTTCTATTTATCCGTAGTGTTATGCGGATAATTTCAAAAATTAATCTTATCATCGACATTAAATAAGAATTTTTTTCTTTTATTAATTTTTGTAAAAGTCTCGTCCATTAATTATAATTTTTTTAAATACAATAATTTGAAAATTATATTTTTAAAGTTTTTTTTTCAATTCTTGATTAATATTTTAGTTAAAATTATTACAATTTTTAATTTTAAAATCAATCCATATAGAACAATGATTTAGGTTTTTTTTTTAAGCAAAAAAATCATAAAAACATTAGAAAAATTAATTAAAAAATTACTATAATTAAAAAAATTTAAAAATTTAAAATAATTTTATTCTATTGGATCCGCGATGTAGCGCGAGCAATCGACTAAAACCAAACAAAAAGTAAAGGGGTTGATTTGGCAAATTTTATTATAGATGAGTTGATTTGACTATATTCATATGATATTAAGGAATCTAATGACTATTTTACCGCAACTTTGGTAATCATTTGTCTAATAAATAGATCTCAATGTATATTTTATGATTTGTTTGATTTAGGTTGAAGGCTTGCTAAAAAATAAGTGGGTGCAATTAAAAAATGGATAATTAGCTTATGCAATCTAAAACGAGTCATTCACTTTAGTAGAACAAGCTATCTTTTGTTTTCAAATTGAACAGACTTAAAAATTGACATTTTTCACTTGTTGATAATAATTGATATCTAAGATTAGCTCTTTTTTTATGTTTTAAACCAGTGTTGCAGAAACTACACAAAATAGATGCATTTAACTCCATAAATCACCACATCCAAAAAAATATAACGTATATATATAAAATCACCTAATACATGAAAAACACTAAAAGAATCGAGCATTTTCAACTACAACGGATAATGCATTTCTTGTCACTGCAGCACTATATCATTTGTTGTGATTTTTTGCCTTTGTTCTGGCATTAGTTATCTCATTATTATGGATTTTGACTCATGCTCAGACGTTTGATATGCAAGTTTTAACATATAGTGCTTTTTGATCCGTATTTTTTCTAAAACTTTTCTTTCAATTTATAGTTTTATTGTGTTGCGGTTTTGATCTTAAATGCATAGAGAAATAAAGAGAGAGAAAGCCACAACAAAATCCATTTTGGCTTCAATTTTTTTATCTTAGACACGAGAGTTTATTTATGGAGTTCCAAGCCATCAAAATTTAGAAGAAGGAGATTGAGACATCAAAATATTTTGAGTTTTTAAATTTGATTTATTTTTATGTGCATTAAAAATGAGTTTTAAGGTTACAAACAAGTTTCTTAATCTTATTTTAGTAATTTTAAGGTGTTTTGGAATAAAAATGACACTTATCTTGGGTTTTGGTGGTAGAAAAATTATTAATCACGATTTTTCGATCAAAATTTTGATGAAAAAATACCATATAAAGTTCATTGGAAGTTGCAAATTTACTACGCATTGTTTGCTGCACACATCTTGAGTGACGTGTTGTTTAATTTTTTTTTTTTTTTTTTTAAGGGGTTAGGTTGTGTGGTCCTCGTTCTCTAGGCCCAAAGGCACATGTCTAGCTTGGTTTTTTCCAGCAATTTATTAATTTTTCATTATTAAATATGATGTGAAAATTATAAAAAAATCAATCATAATTTATCAAAAAATATTTTTAAGAAGGAAAAAAAGAATTCAAGTGTTTGGTTTGTTTTTATTTTACATAATCAAAATTTATCAAAATTAAATTTGTTGTAGTTTTTGTTTTAATATATTAATTTTAAATTTATTTTATCTATTATTTACAGGTTAAGTATCATTTTTTAAAATGTTTTTTTATTTTATGTTGGACGCTTTAAACCACCCAACATAATTATAATATGTAAAAAGAAAAAATATTGAACTGTTGGTTTGATTAGAAATTAACCATGCATTTACAAATAGAACACCAATCATGTACTATTTAATTATTTATTTTTTTGATATTCTAAAATTAATTTCTTCCAAATAAAAAAAATTAAAATAATATTTTAAAGGAATCACCTAATGATTCTAATATAAATTTTTGTGCTAATATTATTAATTATTTTATAAATAAATATATATAAATCAAATATACATATTTTCAAAAAAATAATATCTCATCAACATAATAAAAAAATCAAAATATATTTTTGCATTTTTTAATTTTATAAAATTTTTTACATTAATTATAACTTCATTTTTTTATACAATCTTATTGAAAAAAAAAACTATTTAAAAAAAATGGAATTAGTTTTTTATTTAGACCACCATAAATTTTATTTAAGAATCCATACATAAAAAAGAACAAATCATGGTTTTTAAATTAAAAACTTAAGAAGAAAAAATTAATTAAATATAAAATTTTGATTTAAAAATTATAAAATTGGGTGAAAATTTTTTTAATCTTCAATTCGATATAAAGTCACACTATAATACCAACTAACTAAAATGATTTTCTTAAAACCAATTTTACATGTCAAACCCCGATAGATCGAAATCTTAGGCGAGCAACAAAATTGTAAAATATAAAATTCAAATCCACAAAACAAACCAAAATTTGGTCAAAGCCTAGTTCTTTCGTTCGGTCGGAGGAAAAACTCGCACAAGCCTAAATGCTCGTATATGGGCTCCGACCAAATTATTACTATTATTACATACCATATATCTAAAAGATATGAGATTCGACTCGTTCGAAACCATGTTCGCCTTGGATATATATATATATATATATATCCAAAAGAGGTGGGGTTCGACTGTTCACCTCCGTTTTTTCTTTATATATCTGTATTTTTTTTTTAATTCAAGTACAAAAAAGCATTTGTAATCCAACGAGTTAGGATAATTATTCTCCAAGTAATAAACTCGGATTCGGCTCCCGACATACGCATTTATGCTTTGAATACACACACACACACACACACACACACACCATTCAAGCATAAGAAATCATTTGTAGTCCAATTGTTAGGATAATTGCTTTCCAAGCAATAAACCCGGTTTGGGTCCCGGCATGTGCATTTATGCTTTGAATTTTTGTTTTCACACACATATATATACATATTACTATTATTATATATCTAAAAGATATGAGATTGTGACTGTTCATAACCCAATTCACATTTTTTTTGAGTTTCAAGTTGTTTTTTTCTTTTTCTTTCTTTTTTTTCAAGTTGTTGTGAATACATGTCTTTTCTTTTTATTTTATCCTCTCTTTTTTTCCCCACCAAGTTAGGTTCTTTTTTTTTTTTTTTTTGAATTTTCGGGTTCTTTCATTTTGGTCTCTAAATTTTTAAAATAAAAATTTTAATCTCAAAATTGATGCACTACTCATGCATTTTCTTTTTCTTTTTTCTTTGTTTTTTTCATTAATTTATGTTCTTTTTTTAATTAGGTGTTAAAATTTTAAAAAATCAATTGTTACTTTTATTTCCATACAAATTAACGATTATATAACATATACGATATTTTTTATATTTATACAATATGTTTTTGGATATATATATATATTCAAGTTGTTTTACTATACGTGTCTTTTTTTCTTTGTTTTTTCCACCAATTTAGGTTCTTTTTTTAATTAATTAATTTATTTAATTTTTAGGTTTTATCTTGATCTCTAAAATTTTAAAATAAAAAATTTAATCCCCTAACCGATGAACTACTCGTGTCTTTTTTTCCTTTGCTTTTTTTCATCAATTTATGTTCTTTTTTATTTAATTAAATGTTAAAATTTTGAAAAACCAATCATTACCTGTTTCTATATAAACTAACAATTATATAACACTACTCATGCCTTTTTTGCCATTTGTTTTTTTCATCAATTTATGTTCTTTTTTTATTTGATTAAGAGTTCAAATTTTAAAAAATCAATTGTTACTTTTTTCGACTCAAACTGACAATTATGTAATATATACGATGCTTTTTTATATTTATATTATATGTTTTTAGATTTTATAATAGATATAAAGTACTCTTATTATTTAAAATTGATTTTTTTTATAAAAATTCTCATCAAGTTAATTTTTATTCTTATTTTTTATAATTTTATTTATTAATAAATATGGCTTATTTTATCTATGTATGGATTCGGATAAGTTTTTTTAATACCTATTTTTATTTGCTTAGTTCTTATATAATCAAATTTTAAAAATTGAACATATGTGTTTTATTTTCTTATTTTTTACATAATCAAATTTTATCGAAATTAGTTTTATAGTTTTTACTGCATTCTATTAACTTCAATATATATATTTTACCATTTAATTTTTTATAATATTTTTAAATTTATTTTATACATTCTCGCCTATTGAGTAAGGTTATGATGTATCAAAAATAATAACGTTAAAGTCATTGGTTTTATTAGAAATCAATTATGCATCTATACACGCAATACCAACAATTTACTATTGCTTTTTTAATATTTTAAATAAAATAATTGAAATAATATTTTAGAATAACCGACTAATAATTTAAATATAATTTTTTATGTTAATATTATTCATTATTTTGTAAATATTAATCAAATATATATATGTGTAAGTGTGTGTATTTATTTATTTATTTATACTTGAAAAAATAATCTTCTAATCGGTAAATCTACAAGTTTGTACACTAATTATTGCTTTATCTCTTCGATACAATGTAATGAAAAAACATTAAGATGTTTTGTTTTAAATTTTATATTAAAATTTGTTTATTATGGGTTTTATTTAAGAATAAATGCATAAAAAAGAACAAATCATATTTTTTTTACTTCAAAATTTATTCAGAATTTATCTTTTATATTTAATGTAATATATCTTAATTAATCAATAATATGATATATGTTATCAAACTGAAATAAATATATTTATTTCGGTCCATAGCATAGAGCAAGAATTCGAACTATTCACATGTCTAAAATTCTTATTCACTTACTATTCGTATACATAAAATTGTTATTCACTTGATCTCAATTACGTAGTTTTTGTGTGTTTTTGGATATTAATATGCAAATTTAATACTTTTTTCTATTTTTTATCCCTCATGTTGTAACATTTTTTTTAATCCTTAGTTTTTATGTTTCTTTCATTTTCACGTTATATATATATATATATATATATATCTTTTTATAATTTAAAATTAACATAGATTTCAACTTATATTACTCTTATCATTTAAATTTTATTTTTTGAATTTATCATTTTTTATGAAAATTCTCATCCAATAAACATTTTATACAAGATTTTATTTACTAATAAATATAATTTATTTTCTCTCTATTTGAATTTTAGAGTAAAATTATAAAACATGATTGTTGTTTTCTTTTTTAAAAAGCAAATTGGTATAATATATATCATGAATTCTTATAATTTTTAAATCACTACTGCACATATATAAATATAAAATTATTTTATTCTAAAAGGTTAAAAGCATATTTTAAATAATTTATCTCAGTTCACTAAGTATGGTCAAAACATATAAAATACTATTGAATCGTTAATTTTATTAAAAATTAACTATACATCTTCTAAAATAATACAAATTATTCACTATGAATATATTTTTAACATCATAGAACTAATTTATTTGAAATAAAAAAATTAAAAAGGAACCAACCAATTATTCAAATATAGTTTTTTATGCTAATTTTTTTTATTATTTTGTAAAAAAAAAATATATATAGATCTAATGCATATACTTGAAAAAAATATTATCACCAATATTAAATAAGAATAAATTTTTATTTTTCCATTGGTTAATTTTTATGCAAGTCTATGTATTAATTGTAACTTTATTTTTTTTTATACATTCTTATAAACAAATATAATTTTAAAATATTGGCTTTTGAATTTTTAATTAATATTTAAGGTTTAAATTGTTACAAGTTTTTATTCAAGCATCCTTAAATAAAGAAGAATAAATCATGTTTGTTAAGCAAAAAATTTATGAAACACACAAATTTTTTTTTAATAATTAAATAAAAAATTATAAAAATGATAAAAATTTAAATGATTTTGTTTTATCTAATCGTAGCGTTGTATAGATAATTTTAAAAATTAATCTTCTCATTAGCATCAAATAAGAAATTTTTTTCATTTATTAATTTTCATAAAATTTTATCCACTAATTATAATTTTATTTTTTGAAATACAATACTATGAAAATTATATTTTTATAACTTTTTTATTCTTGATAAAAATTTTAGTTAAAATTATTATATTTTTTATTTTAAAATCAATCTATAAAGAAGAATGATTTATATTTTTTTAAGTAAAAAATTTAAAAAAATATTAAAAAATCTATATTTTTTTTATAAATTTTTTACTCAAAAAATTTAATTAAATAGAAAATTATAAGTAAAATAATTTAAAATGTTAAAATGATTTTTTACTGTCGCATTTGCTGCGTACCGTGGGTAAGCAACTAGTTTTTTCCCGAAAATATAATCTCGATCCGGATAAATATGAGGTCGGGTCAACCGGCCCAAATCACCGCTAACGGAAGCGAATCGAAAACAGAGTCAGAACGTCGTGTTTTATCGAAGCTAATAATCGCTCCCAAAATGGCGACAGACGCAGAATCACCGTCACCGGAGGAGAAGCCAAGCGCCCAGCCGCCGCCGCCACCAGCAGCAACCGATTTGACTTCGATAATAAAATCGAAAGCACTAGAAGAAACCGCACCATGGATCGATGACGCAATGCAACAAGCTCTTATTTACCAAAAAACCATGCAAGATTCCCTTGACACCGCCATTGGAGCTTCAAAATCTCGCTTCTCTGAAATCATCTCGACTTCTCAAGCTCATTTTAGCCAAACAATTGTAAGCTTATTATTTCATTCAAAAAATTGGCACTAAATGTACGTTTTTTTTTCTGTATATAAATTCTTACGCATTTTTTATGTCTTTGATTGTGAATTAACTGTAGGATTATTTGCAAGATGTTAAGTTAGAGATTGGTGTTTATGAGGATAAATTATTTGGCAAGGTTAAAGGTATAAAAAATTTATTGTTCACATTGTAATCGGAGTTAAGGATAGTTATTTATTTTTTGAGGTTTTAAAGACTGATGATTTTTTTTGTTTTGTTTTGTAGAGGGGATTAATGTTGCAGCTTCGCATCCTTTGATTACGAGCGCTGTTGCTGTTGGATTGGGACTTGTGGTTCTTAAAAGTATGTTCCTCAAATTATTTGCTCAAATAATTATTTTTCCTATGAGTCAAAGCTTACCTTTGTTATTTTATGAAATATTTGTCATACAATGCAATGGGTTGTTAATTTGTTGTATAAGGAGTTGGGATAAAGTTGACTAGATTGAATATGAATTGTATTTAAACGTTGAAGTTAGATAATGTTTCTGATTTGTACTTCAGTTTCAATGCATGATGAAGTTCAAGACATATGAGAAGCAGCCTTTTTTTCTTCCCTCTAATTGTCTGTGAAGCTGGTTGGTTCTGTCATTCTGATGGTTATTGCTGCAATTTATGTCATGCAGGACCAAGGCGCATTTTGTACTACAAGACCTTGCGCCTTTTTAATAGTGAAGAGGTGAGCATAAGGCCCCCACATTTTGTTTCTTTTTCTTTCAATCAAGTAGGCCTATAAAAAAAAAGCGAACCAGTTAGGCTCGAAATAGCCTGATTAAAGCCCATTATCCCCTTCAATCAGAACTTTTATGTTTAGTAACCTGTTGTAATGGGTTTTCTCTGCACCCTTTCACTGGCAGAAGGTAAATGTGCTAACATGAGGACTTACATTCCAAAGGTTACCAAGATGGTCACAGGTGAACTGGATCTCAGTTCCTCCTTTGTGCATTTGTAACTCTTGAACGCATACGTGCACACTTTTATTGATACTGTGTCAGTAGGATCTGTAATGCTCCACGTAAAGGATGCTAGGCTCGAGTAGACATTTCCCTGCAAATGTAACTGAAACTATTTATGTTTGCATCATGGGAACCATTTTCACTATGCTACAAAATGGAGTTCATTGCATCTTGCACAATGTTTGTCAAATTCCCTTATTGATGATGTGGAATGTTTTGTGGGTGGTTTTATCACTTTAGTCAAGGATTTCTTTATCGATTACTAGTCTGATATAGTTTTGATCCAATAATTGAACGTGTCTTTGGTTTTGTTTACAACTCTACTTGTGCAGAAGCACCATTCTAATGTTTAAGCATTTGTTGTGAGCGCATTAAAAATGTCTGTACTGATCAGACCTTTACTTTCAACCCTATTTATTGCTGCAGGCCTTGCTTTCCCAAGCTGATGCTAAAGTAAAGGAATTGCGACAGTCGATTAGCCTCTTGAAGGCTGAAAGTGAGAAGTTGGAGGTAGCTTTCCCCACTCCTACCGATTTTAGATGAGTTATCAATATTGTGTTCAAAATGCACCCCACAACAATCCCGACACAAAACACACCCCCACCCCCCCCCCCCCGCGGGGTTCTATTGTGTCTAAACTCTAAAAGCAGAATAGCTGTTTCCTGTGAGATTTTTTCCTTCTTCAAAAACATCCAACTGTCAGTGTTCTTTTCATTTGAATTTTTTAGAACAGCCAATGGATGGTGACATCAACTATGCACTTTGACTTTTATTGAGTTAGTGGCTATTCATTGAAGTGAGGGCTCCACTCAGGAACTATAATTTACATATAAATAAAGCCTGCGAGGTAATATGCTAGGACAAGGATGAGATTTAATGGAGAAAATGGAATTTACGTTTCATATCATCATGAACTTGTGATGCACTGTGTGCCTTAGTTAAAACTTGACAGGAGCCAAATATACTGATTTTTATCTGACGCAATCTCCCCACCTCAACAAGAAAAGACAAATGAAGAGCATTTTTTGACAGAAAAACAACCTGCTGAAGAAAGTATAAATACCAGGAACTCTTTTCCCTCAAAAATTCACTAGTTTGCATGGAAGATGGCATTTTACCAAATACTTGTGCATAATTAAGTTTTAAATAATGCATTTGTATTTGCATTCATGTCAAATTATCAGTAGGAATGGAACGATACTCCATCTCAACCGTACTCCCACAATTTTACTGCACCTGGAACAGATTTGAGAGGAATTCTTTGCCTTACCAGGAGGGATGGAAGACAAGATTGATCCGGGTAGGGTTTGGTGTTGGGAAAGGGCATTGCAATCCTACTCTGATGGGATGTATTACACTGGAAAAAATTAATTTGGCCTCTCTTTTGGGGGTGCTAGTTTACAATTCAACTTTTAAGAATAATTAGCTGTCAGATTTATGTTGGTGAGGAATTCTGGCTTTGTCATGTACTTGCTGGGAACATAGTACAGGATGAGGATGGGAGTAGAGTTGAGAACAGCAGTGGGGATAGAGAATGCATTCGACATCTCAAACTGTATACCGCTATTCTTGTGTATCCTTATTCAACTAGCATCCCATGACATACAATTACTGTTTTTCAGAGGAGGGCATCATTAGCTGAACAAGAATTGATTCGGGGAAGGACAAAGCTCAGGTTTGTGATTTCAGAAAAAAGGCTTCTGATGTTCACTCTTGAAAAGTACGAAAGGAAATGTTTCCTTTTGGCTGATTTTTTCTGCGGAAACTTTGTCTATTGTTACAGGCAAGCAGGCAAGCAGATCCAAGGTGTAATTAGCTCCGCTTACAAAATTGAAAGACAAGCTATGGGTATGTAAATACAACAGCCTCCTTAGTGTTGTTGTCAAGCAGAATAGTTGTATGGATAAAACATTTGTTAATTCAAATTTGCTCTGTGGCCATCAGGGTTGAGGGATATTCTTGGGGAATTGCCCAGAGCAGAAGCATCTAGATTTCGGTCACAAGTAAGTATTTCAGATATTAGCCATAGACATGCTTTCTACCTGTTTATAAATTCTGTTAATGTTTGAAAAGGTATACAGAACTTGTCTTGGAGTTCTGTATATTTTGGTCATTTATCGTGGTTTACTTTGGTTGAAAAGAAAACACTTCTGCTGCGCTCATTATCTAATGCTCCTCAGTGAAGTTAAAATGTGTAAGAAAGATCTGTATAGACAGGAAACTTAGTGTATTGCAGTTGCACATAAATGTAACAGTCACTTATGCCATGATTAGGGATGGCAATGGGTGGTAATCGACCCATTAATTCAATTTTTTATCCTACCATCAAAACAATACACTATCTATTACATATTAAGAAATCACCATATAAATTTATATCCAGTCCATACCCGGCCTATATTAGTTTATCCATCCATTTAATACCTAATAAATTTAATTTGTCAAAAATATTCATTTTAATCCCTATAAGTTATTTTCAAGAAAAGTTTTTTATCCTTTAATTTTTTTTTTTGCATTTTGATCATTTATTTATAAGTTTTTTTGGTCCTCAAAGTTTTTGAAAAAAATATTTTGGTTCTTAATTTTTAAATTTTATGCAATTAGATCATTGCTTGTAAATTAAAAAAAAATCTAAATAAATTAGTAGGTATTGATAGCGTAAAGAGTGGGTACCTATATCTTGAAACCACATTAGTGGGTATGTATTTTTTACCTTTATCCATTTCAATGCCCATGGGACATTTTTAATGGGTATTTATTGGGTTGGGTAAAACGAGTATCTCGTTTTATATCCTGTCTATTGCCATCCCTAGCCATAATGTTTCAGTTATGATGGGTACATGCATGGGCTAGCATGCAATATTTTAGAATTCCGGCCAAAACCTATTTGGTTCTTATAAAGAGTAGATCTAATTTAAATGCTCAGTATAGAGTATATGCCATCTTGAAAACAAACTGCTTAATGAAAAGATTGGTGTTATTTTGACTCCAATTTGTAAATCCTACTCCATTCTATTATGGAATGACTAAATTAGCCTTCATTTTAACTTCCTTTTTATTATAATCAACTTGCAATCTTTAATTACACTCAAGATTTTATTTAAATCAATTTTAAATGTCATAGGCCCTACATAAATTTAGTAATATATGTAGTTTAGTAAATCATTTAATGTTATATTTTATTTAGTCAAGTTATTTGTGAAAAATTATTATACTAAATTTGAAGATTTTCATAATTTACAAGTATGTAAACAGTTTAAAGCTTATAAAGCTTATAAAATGTATGAAATCATGTTCATCATAAGAATATTTGATGTCATAAAAATTTGCATGTTTATTTTTATCTATATATAATTCTGTATTATGATAGTATCTTTTTTATTCTACACTATAACATCTCAAGCTGGTATATATAAAATTGCAAGTTGATTTTGTAATTGAATTTGGGATTGTATAATTTTATTTATGTCATAAAATAAAAATCCAATTTTTATTTTATTCTACAATATTAATTTTTATTTATTTCTATTAAATTTCAAGATTTACTTTCATTTATTCTATTGTATATTAATTTTATACTGTTGAATTTTGATTATAGTTAAAGAATAGCATGAAATAAGTTTATTTTGGTCACTAAAAAAATATTGTGGAGTGTTATCAAAAATTGATGGTGTGGAATGAGAGCACTTAAAAAGTTCTAAACATGTTTTGCTATCTTCAGAAATCAGAATGCCTCAATAAACTAAGAAAGTACAGATATATATATATATATATATATATATATATATTGGTGTGGAATTGATGCGTATTTAAACAAATTATTTTCTTACACTTGCTGTACTGAATTCTGGACTGCGTAGAAGCATAATCATATCTTGTTAAACTTCTCTATTTTTTCCTTTTTTTTTTTTTTTTCAGTTTAAGCTATTAAATCTGTTTTTATTGGATAATTTTGGCTTGCAGGTTTCGAACCTGGCTTCAGAGGCAAAGCAAGAAAGGAATGCTTTGTCCAAGGAGGTCACAAAAATCAGTAACTATGGAATCTCGGTCTGATAATGCTCTTTGCTTTTGCAATGTGTTGGAGGTTTGAGATCACAATTCATAATCACCTATCTTCCATGCAAGGGATGGCATCTCTTCTTGATGTTTGGGTTCTGATTTTGCATTCTGTTAGAAGCAAAAGCAGTGTCAATGATATATCTTTCCTCAACAGGGAATTATTTCAGTATATACATTGAATAAATACAGATATGAAAGAATTCATTGCAAACGGATATACAACAGTAGAGTGCCGCTTAGTCTCAAATCTTTCCCCAGTTGTATTTTAATGTTCCTATTTGGACAGTCCAGTGGATGTTTCAACTTGTTACTAGTCCAATAACATCGCGCACGATGCTTTAGTAGGCTCTCTTTTCAAGATTTATGCAAGTGTATTTTGTAGCCTGATTTGCCTCTCACGTAGGAAAGCACATGGAGTCGGATTTTGTTGGAAATGATTTCTCACCCAAAGTCATTAACTACGGAGAAATTATTAGCTACTCCCAGAGTAGTTCCCCCACTTTGTATGAGAGAAGGGAGTAAGTAAAACATCTTGGATGCAAAAATGACAGAAGTACAAAAACATCTCGGATGCAAATAATAAAATTAAAAAAACATCTCGGATAGAAAAGACTTTACAATTGTTTTAGATTACGACAATAAGGAAACGATACGTCTTCAAAAAAAAAATTTAATCAAACCGCAAGCTTTTTAATTTTTAATTCTCACAAATAAAATCATTTTTTTGGGTTTACTATCACATGATTGGTGGACTTTCCAAGTCAGTATACTGAGTGCCAAACCTGAGTTAATGTAGAAAAACTTTATTAAATACATGGATTTACTTTAGTCTTGAGACCAGTTATTGTTCTTTGCCATTTATCTTTCCAGTTGAGAGCTTATTGGGTTCCCTATCCTAACGGACACGGGAAATCTTGGCTTCCAAAATCAAAACAGTTGTATTACGCTATTACTGTCGTCTAAAAATCATGGACAGGTCACAGGCATAATGAGTTGCGCTTGTTATATATCCTATCACAAGTTACAAGGGGCTAATAAATCAACTTATGCAACCATATTTCCCTTCTACTCTATCACAATCTCGCCCCCTTCAGGCGTCCCTTTCTCAAACTGATTTTCCACTCTGCCCTAGGAACACAAATTGGTCTGATGGAGACCAGTCATCCAGTTCTCCATTAGCCCTTATCCCACCTTCACTGTCGCCATTACGAACCCAACTCATACCCACATAAAAATTGGGCTCCATCCTCACCCATCACTATCCCCCTCTGAACTTTTATCAGTAGCTGACTGCAAAGAGTGTAAGATCATTTCATTTACCCCAATCCTCAAAATTCGAACTCTTTCAATCTCACGCAAAAACAAACACTTCCTTCTCTCAGTCCGAGTCTCCATTAGAAAATTTAATAAGGTGGGAGAAAAAAATAAAAATAAAAGAAGAATATTCCCTCAGTCTCATGCCAGTGAATCACGTGTTATGTCGCTCTCTCATTACACTACGTAACCCCCAGATGTTCAAAAGAAAGCATGCGAAATGAAAATGGTAGTTGAAACTTTAAAATCAGGACAAACAAAAACCAAAATTCAAATCTGATCACTTAAAAACAGCAGCATTTTCTTTTTCAAAGTTCTTCAAATGGATAAAATGCCAGGCATTGACCTCTATGCTAACTTTTCTTTCATGTAACCGTAAGGTTCTAGTCGTGCCATCTACAAAGGATTTCATTTTTTCAGGCAGTTTATTCTTATATTGGAATCAATAACAGGGAGAGCAAATTCAGTTCGGCCGAAGTAGCTCAAAGCAAATCCACTTCCCCCGAAGTAGAGCTACGATAGTAAATAATAGTTGAAACTTTCAAACCAAAATTATGTTAGTAAAAAATTAACGCCAGAATTCAATTACTAGCGAACTCGTATTTCCTTTTCAAGCTTTTTAACAATGGAAGGAACTTCATAAAATAACCAGCAGTGACTATCCTACTGATTTCTTAACCGCTAAGATCATGACACGTTAGCAAACTTCATAGCCTTGATAACCGTGCTGTTGTTGTTGCTGCCTCGACATCATCTCTTTTTGCCTCCGGAGCTCCATAACTTTACGGTGAGAGTTTGAATGCTGAGTCAGCACGAAAGTTGGACTCGCTGCGGGTCGATACTCGGGTACCAGCCGACCTGACTTATACCTGACTCCGCAAGCATTGCATAGCGTTTTCGGGCCCAACGGACCCGTCCTCCACTGCGGTGTCTTCTCCGAAGCGCAGTGTGTGCACCTCCGCACTCCTCCCTCCATCTCCACCGGGGAATGCGGTGCTCGGTTATTTTCCTGCTTCAATCTTGATTTCCCGGTCACCGCAGTTTTGAATTCCGGCGAGGAGGATGTCGCGGTGGTGGCGGCGGCTCGCGAGCGTTTGCTGCGAGATTTGTTGCGAAACGACGGGTCGGTTGGGATATTAATGGTGCTCGGAAAGTCAGTGAACGAGTCCTCTACGAATTGCGATAGCCACTCTAACTCTGCCACGTCATCATTCTGCATAAAGAAGAGAGATAATTATAAAAACATTCTAGTGAAATTATTTTCTTACGTATAGTTTAATTGAAAAATGATTCTGAATTCAAAAAGAAAAAATAATAATTAGGAGTGATTAAGAGTGGCCTACTGGGACTGAGAGATGGTCAGTGAAGTCAGTGGAGAGAGAAGACGGGTTATTAATATAGGTGGTGGAGGAGGGAAAGTGGTGGTGATGAATAGAGGAGGTTTCAGGTGGAGGAACGTAGTGATGGTGGTCAGTGGAAGAGGAGGAGGAGGAGGAGAGGAGGTCATCATTGGAGAAGTCTAAAAGGTCATCAATGTGGAAAAAATCAGGTGCAGTGGTAGTAGCCACTCCTCCATAGATATCCATTTTTTGTGTTTTTGTTTTTTGGCGTGGGCTTGATTTTCTCTCTCACAAAGCTCTTACGTTCGGTTTCGGAGAGGAAAGCTAAGCAAGGAAGAGAGAAAGCTTAGGCAGAAAAAAACTAGAGAGGGGTTGCTCTCTTTCACTGCTTTTTCTCTCTCTGAAGGGAGCAACTAAGAAAAGAGAGTGTAGGAATTTTAAAGGGTCAAGTAGGGATGGAGTTTTTCATGCAATGATGGACACATGGATACACATGCTTGACTTATGTGAAGATATCGGGGTTAATGCATTTATGATTCCTATATAGCCAGCAGACTTTTTAATTACTTTAGATTATGAGCTGACTTAACTATGGGGCTGATCCCATTAGTTTCTGTGATTAATTAGTTACTTAATTATAAGCACTGAAGAAAATGGTTGCTAATTGGTTGTGAAGTAGTGTTGCCATTAAGGAAGGAGAGGGTTAGGCTTAGCTTTTACATTCAAGGCTACATCATTTGCTCAAAGCATGGTGGCATGGACTTTTTTATTTGCAAAATGCTGGTCAGATATAGAAGATGTAAAGATTATATCTATTAATATATACAGATTAATGATGTTTTTTTATTCAGTTTTCATGTGTAATTGAATCTCAAAATAATAATAATAATGATAATAACATTACGATTGATAGTTCATTGCGAGCTTAAATAATACTACTTGGGGGACTAGTATTACTATCACCTTTGAATGCATCTCATCTTATTGGAAGAAAACTATTCATGCTGATTGAGATTTGAAGGTTTATGAAAAATTTACTTTTTATGGATATTATTACACATGTAGAACAAACATGAATCACGTCCTTTTAGCCGTATCAAAGCCTAGTCCCTCTCTCCAATTAAAAAGGATACTGATCAATTGGGATAGGGGAAGTGGATATAAATGCACCTATAAGAAGTTCCCAAGGAAAAAAAAAGACTAGCTAAATAGAAAAGCCGATTAAAAACCAAGTTGAAATAGATAAACTCCGTGCCCCTTTCCCGAGATATATACACTGGCATTTAATTAAACTTATGTTTTCTGCTTTCAATCCTTCTCCCTTATTGCTTCTTTTATCTTATCATTAAAGTTCATATTAATCACACGCCACCGTTACATTTCTTTGTGTCGGCAATGAAATTAACTAGGCAAGAGCACTAGTACAGCATCATATATTTGTACGTAGTTTTACTTCGTTTAAACTTTATCAGATTTAGAAGAACTATTCCTAAACGGCAAGAGTAGCAGTTATTATCTTAATTTCTCCTCTTCTAAAAGCAAATAAAATTTTATTGCAAATCATTCACCAACCACTGAATGATAAATAATTTGTAACGTGTGACAAATTAAGCAAAAAAAAAGGGGGGGGTATATTTCATATGAAATCTGCAACACATGCATGTATATCGGCTCGTGGATGCTTGAGATTGTCACAAATGTATCGCGCTCTTCAAAGCTATATGGACAAGCATGTTACATAAACCATTCGATTAGCAGATGTTCGACCCAAAGTGCTTTCGGCATTTTTCTTAGCGCATTTTAAGAGCTCTCCATATTTTGTCTCTGCCTTAGAGTTGACTGGTTCTTTTGTACTCATCAGATCAAACAAAAATAAGTAGCCACATGGCCAGTGAAAGTATGGCATATGGACCCACACGGTATGTAAGCATGGGCGAAGAGGCATAACATTGTAGAAGGGGGCCAATTGTCCCTCTTATTTTTTTTTAGGTAATTAAAATGATGGATTAAAATATTATAGAAATTTAAGAAAAATAGTATAATGTTTAATAAATATTACAAATTCATTTTTTTTTTTTGTGCAGCAGTGAAAGTCATTTTAGACAAAAATGAGGTTTACGTAATATATCAAAAGTTTTTCATGGATTTTCAATTTCATTGTAAAATTACTGTAGCAAGCTTGAATATATATATTTTTTTATAAATTTAGGTGAATTATAAAAGGACGTGTTATAATTTTTTATTTGTTTCAATTTTAAATCAATCAATTATTATACTTAATTATTTACAAGTTGTTCATCTACTTTGGTTTTAGAAATCGAGTTTTTAACTATTATAATTATACATGACATTTTCACCATTTATAAAAATATATTATGATATTCAATTGACTTTAAAATTAGCATAATATCTATATGGGTAGATGCTTAAATCCAATGGTTAACCATATACATTTATTGTTTACAAAAATTATGATCACAATTATAAAGAAAATTTGCCCTCCTTATTAGAATATTCTAGCTTCGCCACAACATGTAAGCCTTCCGCAAATTGAAAAGGACCTCATAGCAAAATAAACGGGTTCAGTTTTTATGGATCCCTGACACCATCATGCTACTCCTATCTTGCCCCACTGTATTTCCTTCTCAATAGTTCGAGCAATCTTCCCTTTTGATATGTTTATGCTTTAAAATCTTATAGTTCCGATCTTTATGGTCCCTTGTTGAATAGAAACCGTCAATTCAATACAATTGGACTAAATTATAAATAAACTACGTTGAACTTATCCTCTAACAACATGTTTTGAACCAATTCCATATCAAATTGGATTCAACTGGAATAATAAATTAAATTTAACTGACATATAAGTTGAACTCATACGTTTAGAATACACTACTTTTTGTAAATGAATTCAAAATCATTAATATTTTTTTTTAATTTCCCTTGTTGCCCTCATCTCTCTCTCTCTCTCTCTTCAATCATTGAAGAACTTACAAAACTGGAAAACCACGGAGAATAACAAAGTAGCAACTAAAAACGCCATTTTTGGGGAGAGAGAGAGAGAGAGGGGGGGGGGGTGAGGAATTGGTGATCTATGCCCCCATGCCCCATGTCAGTTAATAGTCCCATAAGAATTCAAGAAATCTAATGCCAAAGTTGCATGAAAAATAACAATAATAGCATGAAAATGTTCCAGCAATCGAGATCTAGCTATTATAGTGCAGATCGTGATGGATTTTATATGGTTTTATAGGAAAAAAAGAAAATTAAGTTTAAATCTCATCATAAAGGGTAAAAGAAAGAAAATAAGACTGGATGGACAGTTTAGATAATTCAAATTTTAAAAAATAATTCTTAATGCTATTGTTGCAAATCGCAGCTCTTGAGACGCGATGGACTTCTTAACAAAATGAATTTCAATTCCTCACTTCACTGTTTATTCCAGACATGGCAATTGAACTCAATACCTAGCATTTCAAACGAGCTGTAAGGAGGGAGGGACTATATTGTTTACAATTCAAAGTAATTGGACTCAATTAACAAATTTTGATGATTATAGGGGTAAACTTGACAAACTATCTTCACTGGAACTTTTTGTCGAAGAAGCTTATTTTGGGTATTTTCCCAACGTGACTACTGCAAAAAAACAAAAGGAGTGATATAGATATGCTGACAACTGGAACCAGCTAGCAAGTGTCTTAGTCTAGAATTTGATGGAGGGCTGGTGTTAGAGAGAATCCTGTCCTATTAGTAATTAATAATTTGGATGCACGTGTCAAGGAGCAGGGGACGGTGAGCATTGAAGCTGCTTGTGGGTCTCTCTGTAAAAAGAGCAGAAAGAGGAAGTGTAAAAGTACTCCTGACAGTACGGTGCTTGCCCTTCTGTAAGTACAATTACGATGACCTTTTCTCTTGATTTGATTTGATTGATTGATGGACATCCTTTTCCTGTGTAAGGAATGGTTCATGATCAATATGCAGGAACCATGAAGCTGGCTCTGGACCCATAAGTGTTTCTTTCGGTTTTGCTTGTGTTTGTGCATGGAATTCCCAATCCCGATTCCACGCATCACCGCTGTCAATGTTTGGACTGAGATACACAAGTCGAGATCAGATTCAGGGGTTACTGTAATATTGCTGCCACGCTGCATGATCCATACCAATAATTAGATTTGGATTTTGTTGGATTCTTCTATTGAAGTTGCTATTTTAGTAAATATCAATAGCAATGGTAACAATGCTAACCAAGATTTTCTATTTTATTTCGAAAATTGTTCCGTTTTATTATTGATACTAGATATTTTAGTGTTAAATATATATTTGGTTATTCCGTGTCACAATTATATATATATATATACCCAATAAAAGAAATATTAAATGTAATATTTCAAAATAAATAATTTTCAACTCAAATCTAATTTTAAATAGTGACATACAAAGAAAACATTAACTATCTAAAATTTTCAAAGTTTACAATATTTCAAAATGTTTAAGAGAAATTAATATATGTTCAACGCCAGCAAAATACTAAAAAAATAAATTTAGCAGAGGGCAAGCTGTGCGTAGGACTCATAAATCATTGTCTAGGAAGATATAAAATTAGAAACCCCTGTCTAGCAAGATATAACTTTAGAAGTGCTTGTAATTTTACTTGAACCTGCCAACATTTTATGTGTCATTTATAATTATTTAGTCACACCCATATATATTGCATAATTTTTTTAGAAATATATATAATACCCAATTAAAATTGATAGGAAAGAGAAGAGTTGAGAGAGAGAGAGAGAGAGAGAGAGAGAGAGAGTTATAGTTTAGTCCATGTTTTTTTTTTTTTTATGATTTTGTAAGTTAGTCATTTAATTTTTAAAAATTATAAGTTAACCTCTTGATTAAAGTTGACTGTTTATTTTTAATTTCTAAATTATATATCCTTTATACATGGACTTTTAATTTTGTATGTAGTAGATAAGAATAGAAAATTTGATTCCAAATGGAGGATATATTAAGAAAAAAACAATTTAATTACGACGAAAACCAACAAAAAATTAATTCTGTACTTGTTTTGGTATGAAACGAAACGGGAGAAACATATCGGAAAATATTAGCCGATATTTGGTCAAAATATTATTTAGCCAAACCGAGATTTTGAGCAAGATATAATTGGTTCTGGATTTTAAGATAGCGATATATATACCAACCATTCTGAATAGAATGAAACGAAATTAAACATGTAGTACTGACGGGTGTAAAAAGAGCACAAATGATTGAAGCTGGGTTACCAAGATAACTGCAATTGATGCTGAAAGTTTTTATTTTTTTACTAGCAATGAAAATGAATGCTAGGTAATGCTTTGGTGACGTAACCAAAAATTAGTATCGGAGGGGGTAAATATTGAAAGGTGCTAAGGTGCATTTGGACATATATGGAATGAATAGGAAAGGTTAATTGAAAAAAATTAGCAATTTATTTTTTTTTTTAATTAACAGATTAATCTGCACGCATCTTTCGTGAAAATAACCCTCAATTAACTCTAGTAATTATTTGATTGTGTTTGAGGCTAACTTTGAATTTGTTTTAAAGCTAAAGCACACTAGTAAATCTTTTTCAGTGTTGAAGGTAAAAATTTTATTAAGTAGAACAAATTTTCTTTATATACGTGATCATAATTTTTGTAAGCACATACACACACATATATATAAAAATTACATCAATTATTACATATTTAGTTTATAAATTTTTTAGACTATTTCGATTTTGCCCTGAGTAACCATTGGATTTAATTATCCATCAAAACATATATGATGCTAATTTTCAAGTCAATTGAATATCATAATATATATTATTTTATAAGTTATGGAAATAGTATGTATAATTATAATAATTTAAAACCCAATTTCTAAAAACTATGTTAATGAACAACTTATAAATGATTAAGTGCAATAATTGATTGATTTAAAATTGAAACAAATTAATAACAAGTTATAACATCATTTTACAATTCATGTAAAGTTATAAAAACAAATTAGGAAAACATAAAATATTGAGATAAGCTACAGTGATTTTATAATAGAATTGTAAAGTCGTTCGATTTTTTCTTTTTTTCTTTTTGATACATATATATATATCACACAAGCCCTTTGTTCATAAAAAAAAAAAAATGACTATTACTTTTGCATAAAACGTGAGTTTTGAATATTTATTAAATTTGAATGTATTTTTTTATCAAATTGTTATGGTTTTATAATATAAGTTGCTATTATTGTAATTACCTAATTAAAAAATAAGAGGGGCAATTCCCCCCTTCTGTTATGTTTTTCCCCCACGATCTTCTCACTTCCTAAAAGAAGTGATCACAGCAAATTTTTGAAGTTTGTTACATGATGGCAATAAACAACAATGACATACATGCTTCTTCCAACTCCAATTTGAAACAAATAAAACAATTGTAGTTAATTTTAATTTTGCTCTGTCTTTTCCATGGCATAAAACCTGGCATTGATATCGATTTGAGCTCTTGTAAGTATTCTTTCTTTCTTAACCCCTACACAAAATTTACTAATTAACCCCATTTCCTACAGTCAGTGTTTGGCTGGTTGCCTCCATGGCATGGAACCTTAATTTTGATGATATAATTAATAATGCTCCGCAAGTGATTCCTTAGATTATTTTTTATTTTTGACGATATATAATGCAAGCCTACCTTAAAATAATCAAGAGACAATCTAGCCCTGAATTACAACTGTTGTTGCATAAATTGTCTCATTCTCAAACAGCACTGCCATACAGAACCAGTAGTTGGAGATTCATGTTTACAGTTTATAAAAAAGTCAGAATAAGAAATACTTGGCGAGGTTTTGGCATTGGTGGGGGAAGACCTTGAATCACGTGACATGACAAGCGGTGGTGATCCCACAGCAAAGGCAAATGCACGTGGATGGTCATGTGCCCATGTATATAATATAAATCACCATCATTTATATAACGGTAATCTGTAACTTATAATCTGACAATGTCGAGTGAGATTATCAGAAAATCACTAAATTTATCTTTAATTTCCTACATATATATATTAGCTGTTGATGTAAATGAAACTCAAATTTGTTTCTATTGTCCTAACATTCGAGTTATTAATCCACTTCATAAATACATTCAAATATTGGAAACAACGGTCAAATACAGTACAAACATCAAACTAACACACGTAAATGATTTTAACATAGCTTCTATTAGAAAGAATCACTTCTTTTTGTTTAATTTTCTGTAACGTAAGTATAATAATACTTTATTTTTATCTCATGATCTGTCTTCAAATGCTGATAACAACCATTCTAAAAAAAAATGTTTAATAATAATAATAATAATAATAACAACAACAAAGTACTACACATCATCTTACAATAGCATGTGACTTTACAATAACGAAGCAGAGAATTTTCAATATATTTATCTTTTCTTATTGCGTTAATTTTGCAGCATAAAAAATAATCACATCTTATATTGAATATTGTAATGGTTAAGTAGATTTAGTTCTTACTTTGACTTTTTTAATTTAAAATTTTAAATTAATATCCAAATAAATTATATTGAATATTTTAAACTGATATGAGAGTTTTACTATTACAATCATTTAAAAAAAATTAATTTTGATTCACGTAAAAACTGTCTAAATATATCCTTTGTCGTTGAACCAAAAAGAAAAGGAGTCGATCTGGGGAACTCACATGAACCATATTAATGGGCTCTGTCGGTGGATATGGGCCATGGGGCCCAACATGATTAAATATATGAAGAGGGGGGACGGGTATTCTGATAAGAAATATTCATGTACGCCAGTGAACTTACATCTACATTTGTCATGTTGCGATTGGTTAAGCACTCCAATTTGTTTTTTGAGATGGATTACCTTATTCATGTACCAAGTTCTAATTTTTGTTCCATCAAAAGATATTTTAAATTTTTGTGCAACGGACGATTCCTTTAACAGAAACATGATCAGACGGCAAAGCTTTTTGCTAATCATCCAAGCGGACACGAGATTCTAGAGACGTTATCATAATAATCATATATTTTTTGGTAGATTTTTTTTGTTCAAAAGGATAGTGCGGCTAATTAACGGTGGTAATCTACTGAGGTCATGTGACTCCACGCATCAAGGCACAGGACGAGGAGGCCATATGTAAAGGTCATGACCGAAATTTAGGTGAGATGAAATTCTTAATAATGCTCTAAGCAATATTTTCCATCTCAATCTTCAGACTACATAATTGCAGATGATTCAAAACAAACACAACATCCCACTATCTCGAAAACAAAAGAAGGTTCGAGTTTTATGATCATTTACATTATGGGCGGTAGAAAATGACTTGATATAGAGAAATGGAATGTGAAACTACAAAATAACATATTATCATGCAGTGACTCAAAAACAAACGAGAGAAATCCAAGCTGTGCTGAGGAAGAGGATATGTTATTGCCCTTGCCCGTGCAAAAACAATGAAAGGATGTGATGGAGAAAGGACTCCAGAAGCGGTTTATAGAAGATATGAGGACTCTAAAATCCAATTTGCATTTCTAACAGTTGTTGTAAGACCAGCTTGAGCTCTTTTCCATACAACGAATTACTTGCAATTGCACATCAAGATAGATGAGATGCATAAAGGCAAAAAGCAGTAACACGAAGAAAGAGCTTCAGCTATAATAAGCCACCATCAGCAGTCAACACCCTTCAAATACAGACTGAGTTCCAGCCTTGGCTCCTTGGCTCTATCTAAAACCTACAGTACTACTTCTCAGAGTATGGCCACAAATACAAAAACGGCACCCAATAAATTCAAGGAAATAAAAAGGAACCAAATGCAAACAGACCCCTTTCTGCCATGCCAATGACAAACAACGAAAACCAATCCCCCTGAATCCCTTTTGCACTCCCCAAACTGACCCTATTGCTCATCATTCTGACTCTCATCTTTGATAAGCTTTATCATGTCATCGATTCGAAGAATGGTTATGGCTGCTTCAGTGGCAAACTAGCAAACAAAAGAAATCCATTAGAACTTAGAGGTAGGCGAGACTTCACTATCAATATATTACTGCATTTGCATTTTCCACAGCTGTTACCTGAATTATCTTCACTTTGCTCATGGCAGGCTCAATGACTCCAGCTTCTAAGTTGTTGCGAACAGTCCCTTTTGAAAGATCAAGTCCCATGCTGCAAAAATACCATAGAGCTTCAGCAAGAAAGTACCCCCAAACTATAAAAAGGGAGAGGGCAAACCAAAGGAGGAAAAAACAACATTCTCCACTTATCTATAGATTTCTTTCTCCATTAATGGAAGAGAGGATATCATATATCCAAATTATGCATGGATGAGAAGAACAGATTCCAAAGGGGTAACATGCAACTATATAAAACCACAACCCATAGAAAGAGTAACGACAATAATGTGATTGGAGATCTGAATCAAAACCCATTACCCACTCCATCCCCTCTCAACATTCTCACACCAGAACAATGCCAAACATCAGGTAGAATGTACTAAAAGAAACCAAAATACCTGGACAACTGCTTCTTATCAGCCTTGGTTTGTGCTGTGTGGTGATAAGCCCGTAGTTTTGCAACTAACTCGGTGGCATCCTTAGCAGCATTGACAGCAAGCACCTGTACTACTACAAGTCAGCATTTCTACATAAAGAGGTCCACACGCATCAGGAAATTGATTTTCATAAAGGAATAATAATCGATACCACACCTTTGGTATAACTAATAAAGATTCAGCAAACTCAGCAATTGCCAACTGTTCTCGTGATCCCAGAGTTGTAGCAAGGTACTCCAAATACACAGATAAGGCAGACTCAACTGCCCCCCTCCTGCTACTACCTGCAATGGCAATACCAGAACAAGGTTTTCAATTTTCAAGTGCAGACTGTGTTTTAGGACTCACAAGCAAAATTCAAAGATGTAATGAGAAGGAATCCAAATTTACCGTATTAGATTCAAGGGTCCTCTTAACAATAGATAAGGCATCATGCAGTGCCCTCTCCATCTCATCAAGCATATAATCGTTCGCACCTCGAAGAATCAAGGATACCTAGGCAAAAATAATAAACTAATAAATCAGACAGCTTGTTAAGGAGAATCATAATTACCATTTTCAGCATACAACCATTCTATGTTAATCAGAGCTCCAAGGATTTAGCATAGGCCAAGCATAAATAACTGTTGAAGTTAATAAGAACTCAATAGGTAGAATCACATACACCACTTGTAGTTTTTGTCCCCTTAATCATAATGACATCATCATCAGCAATCCGCTCCTCTGCAACTTCATCAGCATACCCCAGCAATGATGACTCAAATGTTTCCTCCCCTTCCATATCAGCAAATGTTGAAACCTATGAATCAACCAGTGAGCGCACAGGGTCAACAAGATAACATTGATAATATGAATTAAAGGAAAGCAACAGGCAACTAAATAGAGCGAATGACAAAAACTTAAAAGAGGACACGTGTGGATTGAAAAACAAGGCAGAATCAAAAGACTCAGATATGCCCTTTTCAGCATACTTAATAAAGCACACCTGCAGAAAAGGTAAATGAAATAACACTATGCATGGTCTTCATTTGAAATTTCAGAATCAAATTTTAAGTTCAACAACTGATGCAACAAAATGCACAATGAAATTGCTCGGATGGAATGTGATTAGAAAAGATTCTCATGTCCAACTTTGCATGGTGACACCAAAACTACACGGCATACTCAGAGTGGCTTGAGTGATCTTTCTTTGGACAACAGACAGCAAAATGAAATATGTAAGGTATTGGCAACTAGAATCATTACTGAAAGGATAGAAGAACATACCAAGGTTGCACCAGTCGCCTTGGCAACGTGGCGCATATCCTCCTTCCGAACACGTCTCACAGCAATAGCCCCAGCCTCCACAAAGTACTGAAATAAATAATGGTGCAAATTACATTAACAAAGAAAAAGGAAAAGGATTACAACAAAGAATCTTACTATAAGGTGGAAGGGCATACATATAACTACAGAATAGCACACAGATTCACAAGCATAAAAATACGAGTAGCGAATGTCTGCAAGAGCCCATTGTGGACAAATTAACTTATCAGACAGCATACAGCTCCCAAAAACTTGTCGATGCAGTAATAGAGTAAAGTGCAATGCAGTTATTGGATCCCTTTCTAATAGATGAGACAATGCTATCAGCATTTGGAAGCGCAAGGCACAAACACTTACCTTAAGAGCCATGTCGTCAATTCCTTTTGTAGTTAGAACAACATTGGCTCCAGCTTTCAAGAGCTTCTCAATGCGTTCCTTCGTCATATCAGCTTCTCTGTCAAGACAAGGATAACATAGAGGCCATGTTACTAAGAAAATAAACAAATAAATATATCACATGATAATTATCATTTTGATTGCCATCAACACACAGCAGGGATTAAAAAAAAAAATCAGTCACACAACTCCATAGACCAGTTACCAAAGCAAACACGGTACTGTTAATGAACAAAGCAACCGAAGTCTATAATCTAATCACCTCTGACGAATTTTCTCAAGCTCCCTGGGATCAGTGACTAAGACTTGTACACCCAATTGCATCTTTGTCTTCTGAAGATTAAAGTCAAGGCATGCAATCCTTGCAGGTGCAACTTTCATAGGCATTCCTTGAGCAGCACGGCCAGTATTTAGAGCATAGCCATTCAAAAGGTAGCTATCCTTGGCACTCTTGCCATGAGCTTTCAAAATATTGATGCCCTGAAAAATCAAACAAGCAACTGGAAATTACAACCATCACTAAGCAATGCAGATTGGCCTGTATCAATATAGTATGAAAAACATAAATATCAACCAGTTCTGTAAAATGATGTACAAGCAGGAAGCTCAATGTACAGATTCGCATTATGGCAGGTTGTCAACATACACTACATGAGCCGGTTGCAAGATATCAAGAATCCTTCAGGGCCAAGTTATTGTACAAGAAGAATTACTGACCTTGATGGGATATCTGACTTCACCTCTTACATTTGTCATCTTTACTGCTTGTACAGCATCGACAACCTATAACAAAATGCAATATACATACATATGTAAGGATAATGAATGAGTCAGGCCTTTCATCTTGTCTGAGCCAGCATAACAATGAAAATAAAAGGGTCCTCTCAGTTATTCTTCCAGAAACTACTATACAAAGCAAGGCCAAAATTAACATCTGGGCAGGCATTTCAAGATAAATCATGCAAAGCTAGACAAAACTAAGTTGCAAAGCAATTTAGCATGATAACAACTCGGAGTTGTTTTCACATGCTTCCATCCAAAAACAAGAGGAGAAAAACCAAGAGAAAAAAATGCCAAAGGAAAAAGGACCAGCAAACAGAAAAGACACTGGCTGCTGTAAAATCCAACATTTAATGGAGCTATAAATGCTGCAAACTGAAGAAGTGAGTCTGACAGAAAGAAAACAGCAAAGTACAAAGGCCAAAGTAGGTGTTAAAAAAAAAAAAACACATTAGCTGCAGCAGAAGTTATCTGTTTAGCTTTTAACCCAGAGTGTTAACCCAAGCTGAGGATGGATTTGGGATATACAAATGCCCAACACCATCACATCCAACTGGTTTTGGACAGACGAAAATACACAGTTCTGTAATATACAATATAAAATCATTAACATTTATCTTTGACCAAACATATAATTCTCAGGAGAAATACACTAAAAAAAATAAGCATACCAAATTTGCAAAGAAGTCACTGTCACTGCCTATCAACTTTGAGGACATACTTGTCTTGGCACAGTTTACTAGAGAGTCTTTTCCAAGCTTTTCAACCTGATAAAATCACAAAAACACTGTAATTAAAGAACATAACATAGCGGACATATTGCCCAACGTGTGCTGTAACAGTTGAAATATAAAACATCAAATTCCATTATCAAGAATACTGAAAAAAAACACAGAAATTCTATCTAACGTTTGAAATTAAGAGTGAATCGTGTTTCATCTATTCCATAGAGAATGTGGTAAGTTATAACACAGCTTATATTGTTGATGAATCAATATTCAAATCCACACTGTTTGTGTACTTCTCACTACTCTTCCCCAAAAGAAACAAAAATGCAATTTTGAATCAAGAGGCCCTTACCTTCACTGCCAATTTTTCATCAACATATTTGCATGCTTCCCTCATTGCAAGCTGTCGATACATACAAATATAGATGCAATGCCATTAATGGACACATTCAGAGAGAAGAAATTCTAGGTCTTGGTTTTGTGCACAAATAAATACACATAAATGGTGCTATAAACATGCTGGAAAATAAAACTCACTCTATATCCACTGATGATTGAAGTTGGGTGAATCCCATTCCTTACTAGATCATTTGCTCTCTGCAAAAGAATGTCATCCAATTATTTACTTCCATATCATATTCCTTTACATTATAACACCTAAAATAACTTGATTGAAAAAAAAAATTAAAAATAGTCTGCTAGCTGCAGTTACCTTGAGCATCTCTGAAGCTACAATAACAACAGAAGTTGTACCATCTCCAACTTCTCGGTCTTGAAGCTCAGCCAACTCCACAAGCACCTGTAGACCCCAAAACAAACATAATAAGAATCGTTAAACAGAGCAGCGACTTCATACACATTAAGATTAGAGAGAGAGAGAGAAAGAGCAGAATTTGGACTGTATCCATTCACCTTAGCAGCTGGGTGCTCTACTTCTAACATCTTAAGAATAGTTGCACCGTCATTGGTAATTGTTACATCTCCAATATCATCCACAAGCATCTGCAATAATCCAATCATCAAGAAATAGAACACCGAATAAGTATTCCATCCCATAGAAACTGTATAAAATAAAAACATTACAACAAATTTATTGATTGGCGCAACCTTGTTGGGGTGCACTTCAACAGTTTCCTTGTTTCATAAAATTGGAGCGTAATTTTTGACAGTTCACTTCAAAAAAGTTAAATAGCATCCATAACCAATGAATAAATGCAGGGAAGATTAGAAAAATTCATTTATAAAGAAAATAACTAAAATTAATCTATTGTATACATTTTCGCTATCAAACTCGATGTCAGTTTCAAATTCAATAATATAAGTACCAAAAAAATATATTTTTAGGTTTACAAAATAGCAGCAGAGGCAACAGCAGCAGTGCAAAATTGAATAGACAAACACACAATAAAGTAACAAAATCAAGAGAAATGTGATCATACCTTGTCAAGACCAACAGGACCGAGAGAGGATTTAACTATATTGGCGACTGCTTGACACGCCATCACTATAAATCACCAAAATAATAATAATAATAATAAGCATCATCAGTGGAGTTTCAACACGGAAAATCTACTGGAAGTTAACAAGAGAGAGAGAGAGAGTACCATTTTGAGTGCGAACGTCCTGGCCGGACTGTCTTTCGCCGAGAATATCAGGTGTTTGCGCTGCAATTGCCATTTTTACTGGAAGAAATGAAATCCCAGATTAGATCTGTTAGCGACTGAGAGAAAGAGGGTGATGTGCGGTTTTTAGCAAGTGAAGAAGCACGGAGTTCTCTTCTACTCTACTAGAAAGGAACGGAACATACGGCTCACGAAGGATCTCTCTCTTTCGAAGAAGAGGCTCGGCGAAGTGAGGGTGATTTTATTTTAGGAGTCTACACGGTATCGTTTTAGGGTGAGCTATAGAGTTTTCAACCCTAAAATAAATGAACAAGGGGGTTTCTTTAGGACGATTTCTTGGGTTTTTATTTGAAATCGTCCTTTTGAAATTCATGCCCTCCCTCGAAGCCAGAACAATTGTGTGCGCCCTCCCGTTATACAGCAAATATATGTTATCAGATAATAAATATCTATATTCATTTTATTTCTCTACTACTAGTAGTTTTTAATATATTTAATTTATTATTCAATATAGAAATTAAAAGAGTAATATATTTGATTCAACCATTTATGAATCTTTAATTATTCATATTTTCTTCCAATTCTCTTCCTAATTTTGAAACATATAAATAGACTAAATTGTTCATTAATTTATGATACGTTTATTTTTATAGATATTGAGAGGGTTGTTTTGGAGTTGTTGTCACTTGTATTTATTTTATTTCATAATGAATTTATTTTCATATCATCTTTCTCTACAATTCTATTATTGTTATCACTTTTGTCGACGTAGGCCCTGCGAGGGAACGAACAAGAATTCGCTACCTAACTAATCGAGGAGAATTAGAAAATCCTAAATTTACTAGTTTACATAGATATATGAGTAAAGGGGTTAACTAAGTATGAAAAAGATATAATATCATTGTCATTTAGTCCTACTTAAGGTAGACTACATTGTTTGTATGTGAAAATAAAAATTCGGTTTTCACTATGTTATGCTTCTATGCCTATTTAAATAAATTTATTTTATTAAAGTGTAAAATCATAATAATTCAAGTGTTTGTATGTAAAGTGGAGTAGTTTGAGGGTTTAAGACCAATACCTCCTACTCAAAAGGGAAAGATGGGGAAAGTTGGAATTTTTATCGGTCATTAGTGAACACGACCTATTACCGATAAATAGGTGAGTTTCTAAAGATAGATAACCTTTAATTAGCATGAGCAACGAATCGGCGATGACCTCACTCACACGAGTGGGAAGCCACCAACGATTTCAAATCATGAATTTAGGAGGCTACCGATAAATTTATCGCATAAGTGGGAAGTTATCAACCACTTTATCGAACAAGGAGTAGGTAGATGTTTGGGAAGCCACCGAGGATTTTGTCAACCGAGTGAGAAGCCATCGTCGACTTCATTTCAAATGAACAAACAATTAAATAAAATAATCTCAAAACCATTAACGACTTCGTCACATGAGTGAAAAGCCACTAATAGCTTCATTTTAGCAATTCAAAATTATGCGAGTTCCTAATCTGCAATTGAAAAGCTCAAGAGAAAACGTAACTCCACACAATGGATTCAATTAAATGCCTTTATTAATAAAAAAAACTTTGAAACATCAACACAATACAAAGATATCAAAACATAGGAGAACGGAGCAATTGGATAACCAAATGAATTTCCAAACGCAATTGAGAAACATTACAGAGAGAATAATGAATGAGAAAGATTACAATTGTTTGCAAAATCAATCCACACCCGTTCACTCGTTTCTCTTTCCTCTTTTATGCACTAGCCAGTTAGAGACAATGCTAACGGTAACATAACCATTCCTAACAACTAGCCACGTCAACCTACCACGCTAGCCTTGCTAACTAATTGTATAACAACTCGCCACGTTAGCTTTAAAGTGTTTCTCTCATGATCGATTAATGGTTCTTCTTGCTTCGCCTTATTTCGACATGCTTCGCCTTACTTCAACTACAACCAATCTTTTAATATCGGTTCTTCCCTTACCGAGTATCACAAAATTAAGCAAAATTATTTAGAGAGCCACTAACGACTCCATCCATATAAGTGAGAAGCCACCGATAATTTTATTTTGAACAATTAGAAAACAAATAAAATTATTCTTAAAACCATCAACGACTTCGTCATATAAGTGGGAAACCACTATTGGCTTTGTTTCGGTATTGCAATCAAGCATGATTAGGGATGGTAATTTGCCCCACCCCGCTTCGTTTCACCCTAGCTAACGCTATTTTGGAATTGCTATCACTTGTATTCGCTTTTTTATAGTGAATTTATTTTTTTTATCATATTTCTTTCTAATTCTATTTTTGTTATCATTTTTTTTATAACAAAATAACATTTCTTTCAAGTAATTTCTTTTTTTTTTGTAAAAAAAGAGAAGGGTTTATGGACTCACAACGTGAAGCATTGTGTCTATTTGTACAAAAAACATAATATCCTATTTTGTTAAAACTATATTCAATTGTTTATATCTATCACAATTGCATAGAATTTAATTAAATCATAAGATAATAAGATAAATTCTTCAAACGTGAAGTAAGTAAAATGTTTTTAACGCCTCACAAGAGTTTAATAAATTACTGAATGAATAGTGTTTTTATTTAAAAAAAGAGGATAATGTACTTTCCGAGTCATAATGGTATTCTATTAATCGTAACTAGCACTATTACGGAGTAAGTAGTTAAATTACGATACGATACTATAAACTTTTATGATACAATGAATAAATATACTTAATAATTGGTAATTTGAAAACACTAAATTGTAATGCCTTTAAGCCTTCAAGTAACCATCAAAAACTAGATAAATATATCTAAGAGTCAATGTAATTGCAAAATGTGAAACAAAAATGTTTTTATTTTTTCACTCGAGAAAAATGACAAATGAAACACTCGAAAAAACTAAATTAAAGATTGCATATCAACAAATTCGGAACATAAGCAAAAAATAAAAAACAAATTTGTATCATCAACACACCATCGGTATAGATATGATCCTTGAAATGGCCACCGCATGCCTTAATATTAGATGTAAAGTTCCCTCATTAAATGTTGTTAATTAAACGAATCAACAAAACGAATGAAATGAAGGTGATGACTAATGTAACTACGAAGCATACCGACTTAGGGAAATTCTACAAAGGGATCAAAAGTCGAGATTTTTTTGTCAATGCAAGCAAATAGAGAGGCAATGACGCTAAAAATATGGCCAAACGGGACGGACTAAAGAACCGGACTATATTCTTATTTATCATTTCAATTCCTTTTAAAGATGCACTTTACAATGACTCAAGTTCTTTATAAGTGAACTTGGCGGGAAATAAATGAAAACGTGAAACTTAAATAAAAACAAAAATGCAAATAACAATGGGTTTGAATAAGATACCGTAAACTCATTCAACCAAAAACATTTAAGTTTATGATGCCATTTAGCGAGACCGAATGAAACTTCGAACAATTCATTGTAAAAAAAATCGAACTAAACTTGAAAAGTACGCCATCGAAGACGTACAAGTCATAAACTTTGAATCATATTTCATAAGGGCATGTGTCAACATAATAAACTATACAAAACATGCGTGACAACCATATTAATTTGAAAATTCATCATAAATAACGGGGTTTTAAAACTTTGAATAATACTTCAGACACATATGAAAACTAAACTTAAGCAAGACATCGGCGTATAGAGGGCTTAAAACTTTTAAAAGGATGCCACCGATGATGAATGGGACTAAAATTTTAAAAAATAAAACAATATGTCATGAACGAGTTTCACAAACATGGAAAAAGATGTTATCGAGGAAGAATGCGTCTAAAACTTTAAGCATTGTGTAGTGCCTCCGACTAAACAATAGAGGATACATAAACTTACTAATAAAATAAATAATTTAAACGAATTCAAATACATAATGCACTATATATGTATCTTCATACTCGTCAACAATGACCATAATAACAATGAAAGCAATGCTACCTCATCATACCATCATTTCTTGATACCCCACGAGGGAAATGCATTGCACCGAGACTTGAGTAAATAAGAATTTATAGATTAGATACGAGTTAAGAACCCATTTCAAACATATATAACGAAAAATGACATGGATACCACATTAACATAATCTTGCGAAGATGATAATAATTTTCTTTTTGCGTTTTGCATGTTTATATGATAAAACCTGTGTTTATATCAATGAGTTATATATGCATATTTTTTTCTCTTAATCAATGATTATGTAGTTACACATGAGTCATCTCTAGGTAGTCTTATTTTCTAAAAACGGACCAAATTTTATTCACGACACATCGAGAGAAAAACAAATAACTCGTGTATAACTATTCGACCAACATGCCTAGAGATGAACGTAAAATCCATTATGAAGGTAGTTAAATTTAAACTACAAAGCTGCTGGAATGCATCGACAATAGATCAACCTTCCATCAAAATGAGAACCCTTATATGGATGTAAAAAAGAAAAGAACATTGAGAAAATGTATGGTTGAGATTTCATCAACGATTGATCGAGCAAAAACGTCCTTATCGTCTACAACCAAAGAACACTATGATAATGAACTTATCTCGTTGCACAACTATATTACATGCCTTGACATGAATTGTTAGCAACAAGATTAAGAGTTCTACTTACAACTATTCAAGCATAAGAGTATGCGTGCTACTTTAACTAATAGAATCCAAATGTGTGGGTAAATCTTTTTGGATATAGATTGATATAGGATTTCATAACATTATGACAAAAAACTACATATATGTCATCCAACACGAGTTGAAGAGAGACATAGACTATAATTTGTAAGGGAAGATGAATTGATTTTATGGACAACAATCGCCATTGCTTTGTTGCTTCTTGTTTGGCCCATAAAATCCGAATAAGTAAGCATTTTCGGGGTATGGTGTCTCGTAAAAAGGTCATAGCAAAAAAGCACAAATGAACCAATCATAACGGATCAAAACAAAACTAACATTAAAAGCAAAACCAAGTAAATGAATATATATCAATCATGGGATGTTTCGGATATTACAAAAGGATTGAGAGTAATTAAAAGTTAATTGGAAGGAAAATTCGGAATTAAGAGATAGATAGAAAGAAGAAATAAAGGAATGATAGAGATGAATTAGGATGGAGACTTACCGTTAATTGCATTTTTTTACCGATAAAACCCCACTAGATGCTCAATCCGACTTCTCGACGATCCGGAAATTCTTTTTATTGTGTATTGGTTTTAACCGAGACTAGAAAATTCTCCCGATGTGTTTGGATGACCATATCCCTAATCAAGTTGTGCATCTTGACACACTTCATATTATTACTATCTACACAACTTCCCAATAAGCGGACATTTTCCAGTTTATTAACCATCACATGACCTTTATCATAATTATCCTTCCCTTTCTTTATTCCTTGAACGAGTCGATAAAGCTAACATTTTCTCCCTCTCAATGAAATGGTCATCATGAAATAATGTACAACACATGAAGCATTGTTGTAACGATGCATCGTTTCGAGTATAGCTAAATCTCAATACACATAATACTTCAATTTTCATGTCATCTTGCCTAACTTTTGATTCTTTTAACTCTTTTCAAACATTCCTCCACTCACATATATCATCCACACCCCTCATGCTTCCATCCTTTGTGATAATTCCTAGTGGCAACTAGCACGTTCCTTGGTAAAAGATTTTACTATCCGTTCAACTTCGGAGAAAGTGCTACATCATGTCCTGGTTTTATCATGAACAAAGTTCGGGCTTCATCCTAAGACAGAGGCTCCAATTTGATTTTTTTTATAGGTTACCCTTCAATAGACTTCTAGTGAATGAGTTATAAGAATTAATTTACAACCCTTCATTTGGATAGGAATTCCTACCTTGTCCGGATCAAAATAGTTCTATAAATCATCTAAAATAAGAACCTATTTGTTCATTCTTTAAATGTTTTGACAACTCATCAACTTGGAACGACTTTTCGTCTTCACTTGAAAGATCTAAACCAATGTGGTTTGCAATAAGATTCTACAACCAACAAACGTTAAAAGCTCGGTGATACGAGTAATCCAAGTAAAGATGACGAGTAGAGTCCGCTCATTCATGAAGTCGATTGTAGATATGTTTCACCAATCGAGATTTACCCATACCTTCCATCCCATAAATGCTAAAGTTTGGGACATCATCGTCCGTGAATTAAGACCAAATAGCTTTCTTATTTTCTTCAAACATATGGCTCACCACCTCCATTGTGTTTTTGGTGAAGCAACCTTATTTCCTTTGAAGGCTTGGCTCATTAGCTCTCATGTTATGGTTAAAGCATCTCGTATAGTCTCACCGGTATTATGTCGAGGATCGTCACGAAAGCTACCTCTCACTATAGGTCGCATAAATTTTCTAGCAATGTTCTTTACCTCATTTGTCAAGACCTCATCATCAATTGCAAATTGAGAACATAACCAATCCCAATTTCTTTCAAGTACTTGACACATCTGGATCCGATTCTTGCGATACATCTCCAATAATCTCAAGCGAGACATTCATAAGCAACTTGAAATCGATAACTTTTTGTTGTTATAAGGGACTTTCATGTAATTTTTTATTTTCAACGAGCATTATTAAGTTGTCTTAGCATAATTTCTTAGTTTGTGCTTCAAGTGTTTCTTCCATTAATTTAAAATCAAAGATTTTTCATCTTTTGTCCTCTTTAATCCTTTTGTCCAATAACGTTTTCTAATCCTTTTTCGTCTCGTTGGATTGTCACCTGTCGGAACAAGTTTAGGCACTTTATTAGAATTCGAAACTCGTATTCCCTATTTTAACAACCTCATCATTTGGTTTCTCAAAACAATTTGAGATAGTATTACTAACCTTACCTTATTATCGCTTTTGGGTTTTTCTTAAATAGCTTGATAGGCTTCTTGTCGAACATTGTTAGTACTCGAGTACGGATTTTAATACCACATCCTTTAAAACCCGTCAAATGAGATTTGATCATTGAAATCCAAATTCCAACTTGCATATCTATACTTACACTATGATTGACCATCATTCAACTCTTCGACATGAATCCAAAATGGATCATTTAACATAACATAACCATTTTTGTTGCCTTACATATAGAAATTAGGCTAATTAGAAAAAGAGAGATGATTTTTCACAACTTGTTTGTTTACGGAAAATAATATACGAGAGAGAAAAATTGAGTAGAAGAAATAATATAACTTGTCCGACTTGACAATTTTGAGTTCTATTCGATTAAATCGGATTGGGAAAAAGAAAAGGGACGAAACAAATAAGGATGAAAATAGTTTTAGGGATTGTGGATGAAAGAAAGAAACCTTCGAGAAAAGAAGGAAACAACTTGATCAAAACGCTTTTCTTAAAATACCAAAGTCTTATAGTATCAAGTTTTTATGAAAAGAGCGAGGGCTCACTTCTCGAGTTCATTTGTCAAAGTATCAAAGACACCAACTTAAACTCGACCGTGTATCGGATGCAATTCTTTAGCGTAAATTTTTCTATCAATGCATCAACTTTTTATTTAAATCCGAGATCATTTGTGTGAGCCTTATCGTTTAAAGTGTCAAAGACATTATGTTTAGGATGTCTTACTCCAATCTATATAAATAGTGAACGATATACAAGGTGAACGAGGAACAAATGAAATTATAAATATGCTATAAGATCGAATACTTTTAAAAGGATTACTTTAGTTTACAGACGTTGAAAATTTATCTATTCCCAAAATTTAGCTTATTATGTCAAAATAGAGAAGATAACCATTTTTTTTAAAAAAAGAAAACAAAACCAATTAAGGGGAATTGATTTTATGATGTCTACGGCCTATGGGCCCTATCGGGTAATGTTTGGGCCTTCAACTGGTCCATAAATGAACAAAATATCGTTTTTTCTGGTATGGATTCAACCGCCATATTCACCTCATACTCTCCACTCACCCCTGTAGGCTGTGTCCCTTTCTCCATGGCCACATGCCTCCTCCTCTCAGCTCCCTTCAAACCTACCACTATCTCTCCAAAACCCACCTCTAAAATCACCTGCTCCTCAATCACAACTCAATCACGATCAGCCAAGCAACACCTCCTCGCTCTAATCTCTGACCAAGACCGCGGCCTCAGAACCCAAAATGACCCTATCAAAAGATCCTCAATTATCCAAGCCATTGGTGCAATGGCTGAACTAGGCAAAGATACATTCACCACTGATGATTCACTCTCTGCCACCTGGCGGTTGCTTTGGACCACAGAGAAAGAGCAGCTTTTTATTATAGAGAAAGCTCCATTGTTTGGTACTCAAGCTGGTGATGTTTTGCAGGTTATAGATGTTGAAAAAAAGACTCTTAATAATGTTATCACTTTTCCACCTGACGGGGTTTTCTTTGTACGCTCAATTATTGAAGTTGCTTCCTCTCAGAGAGTGAATTTTAGGTACTTTAGTGTTAAAATTAATGTTTATAACTATTCCAATCTTCGTTGATATATATATTTAATTTTGTTTTAGATTCACAAGTGCGGTTTTAAGAGGTAAGAATTGGGAGATACCGTTGCCACCATTCGGCCAGGGATGGTGAGTGTTCTCTAAAATTGGGATTTTTGTTTACTGTATGAATATTAATATGATGTTTGATTTTAAGTGGGGTGTATTTGTTTTGATTTATAAAGGTTTGAATCGGTGTACGTTGATGAGGAGATTAGAGTAGTGAAGGATATCAGGGGAGATTATTTAGTTGTTGAGAAAGCTCCGTATGTTTGGAAAGAATAAAAGGTAAAAAATGTGGCGATTTACTTCAATCTCACTGTAATTAGAATTGCAAATGTCTTCATCTTGTGATTATTTTTGCAAACATGCTTTTTGTTTGAAAAGGCAATGGTAAACATGCCAACATAATCCTTTTAGTCCAGCTACTTGAACATTTTTTCACTATCCAAATTAGATCACTGATTGTCGCATTCGAATTGTCTGGATAATAGAACTTTTAGTTTGCTCTTGTTCTTGTCACTTGCTTTTTTCCTAATTCGAGTGAGTTCATTTTTGTCATTAAACCATCATGGAAACTTGTGGCTGGAGTACTTCATCTATGTTTTGTTATTTTTCTAATTGTTGTGGTGGAATGTGTAAATTTTGTAGGCAACTTTACTCTTTAGTTTCACGCTGAACAATTGATATTTTCAAAATGGCAATTTATTGTCCTATTGGTGAAGGAGAGATTGAACAAATGTTTCCCATATAATTTGGAGTGATTGAGAAATTGGAAGCTCGATGCTGAGCACATGTAAATTCAGGAGAAGTTCCAAGAGATCATCCTTGGTTATAACTTCAGAGTTGTAGATGGCAGGTGAATGAATGGTAAAGTTGTCTGAAATTCTGATAAGAGCTTGCTAAAAATGATTGGCAATATCTTTATTTGAAGAAAAAACATGAGACTGGTATCACCTATTGTCTGGAAGTAAAGAATGATGAGTTGTTTTACAGCATGCTGTTTTATTTTTATTTTTTATCCTCTTTTCTTTAATGTTTCAAGCAGTTTTGTTTGCGTACAACTTTCATATCCATTATCTCGTGTGAATCTTACTTATGAAGAGTTCCCATTCTTCTATTTTCCCTTTTAGTGCTCGTGCTCAGCAAAAGCTAGTCTCACTTTCACCCTTTGATCCTGCATCAGTGAACAATGGGGTGTGATGATAGGATCCTCTTGAAAATGCAAAATCTCACGTCAAATTATGTAATGGAAAAAATACATACTCTAGGATGATCCTTCACGGATTAGTCAATTTGCTTCTGCTGCTGTGCCTTTTGACTTTACCTCTTCCTGTTGCTGCTGTTTTCTCTCTCAAATGGCACCTTTATAACCTAAATTTGATTGCCATTCTGCATTTTCTTTGTTACTGCTTGTGATTTATGTTTCTGTAGTGCAATTTTGCCCAATGTTGCTTATTGATTAACTACCACGATGTTTGAGATTGTTCGGAATTCAGGGGCGTTTGAAAGTTAGAATTGTCTAGTTGTATATGACCATAAGGAAGTTTTTTGAATGAAGAATTTTTACTCTGCTAATCACATTCGTGCCTTAAATTAAGAAGGTTGTTTTTTTGGGTGTTTTCTATACGTTGTGCATGATTTTCTTTCTGATCTGAGGCTTTTATTATCAGATACCCTCATGTTAGTATTGCATGTATACTTTTAATGCTTAATACAATTGAAAAACATCCTATATTTTTTTTTGCTAGATCATTTTTTTAAGGTTATTCTCTTATTAGATACACCCCTCTCTCTTTCCCTAGCTCTGAGATACATAACTCCCTTAATAATTGAAAATGCCTGATGTCTTCAGGTTCAGATCTGCTTACCGTGATGATTATATTTGAGTTGTGAAAGGATTGTCATGGAAACTATTCAATTGTGGAACATATCCTCGTACTTGGACAGAGCTATATGTATTAATTTGGTAAATTTACACTTCCAAGCTGCAGCTATTACATGCATGAAACTGTAAATATTCTGACATGCTTATATGCTCATTTACAAGGCTTAGGTGTTTTATGCCAGTGCTATAATCCGTCCATCTAATATCTTCCTGTTTTTGCTATGCAATTTATTTCTTGTTTATGTGTTTGCAGTGAATTCTCTGCTTCTTTATATTTCATCTTGCCTTCAGTGCCTTCTATGCTCTCTGTCAGAAGATTCATGTAGATGGTAGAAAGCAACTGGGGAGACTCCTTGCATCATGTTTGCTCTCTTCACTATGCTGTAATCTGATTCTAGAGCACTTCAGCCAAGTCAAATCAATTGATTTTTGGATGATCATAAATACACTTTCTTTGTGAGAAGCAAACCATGGAAAATTTATTTGCCTTGTATCTGTACTTGCTGTTGCTTTACTAATTACTCTTACGCATGCATCCCTTTTTTTTTTGTATCAGAAAAGTGGACATTTGTAGGATCAATACAGGCTAAACTTGCTCAAATTGGATCTTTTTTTTTTATGCAGACATAGTTTCTTATGATTTATGAACGAAGTGACTCGAGTGTGATGTCTCTTTCTCTCACGCTGGTATGAGTGCTTCTCTTCCATGTGTCTCTGTTTGTTGCCATCTCATCTGATTCCTTGCAGTTAAGCCCCATTTCAAAAGTAGTTTTGTGTAGTATTTTGGAAGATGGTTTCATTTGTGTTTCAAGTCTATTCTTTCTGCTGAGAAGATTATAAAATTTCATTATTCTCAGCTCATTTGGTGTCCTACCACCCCTTTTTTCTGTCTGAAATTGGAACCTCACTATTCCTGTTGTTCCCATGTGTTCCTTAAGACCATCGAGAAGGAATTCTTGGTGTGCTCTTCCTACTAGGTTTAATTTCATATCGATGCATTTTTTCAGACTTTTCATCTAAATATTGAAAAACTACAAGGAATATTGATGCTTACATGTCCAAATAGGTCCGACCACATGACAATCCTTCCTGCTTATGGATTAAGGGAGCTGGATCGCTAGGAAACCATTGTCTCTTGAAGTCTTGCCAAATGCTTAAGAATAATAAGCTCTTTCAAGGGAAATTCAGCTTTTAAACCTGTTGTGCCTTATGATGACTTTCCCGCTCATTGAGTTGCTTGAATTAGTTGAAAGAAAGCAAGTTCTTGGCTCGGCTGTGAACATAGTCACAGACTGGCATTGTTGTGCTTTAAAAGCACAATTCCAAATCTTAGATAGGATGCTTTCAAGCATTAGCAAGAGTATTGCTTCGAGGAAAATGCTTGCTTTTTGGAAAATTCATATAGCATACACATGTACTAGGCCCCTGCTGCATTTAATCCCTGTGCAATTTATCTTGTCTGATCCCAGATCAAGTATTTTTAACTCCTCGTGCTCCTTCTAAAGCTTTTAGATACAAGATGAAGTTTAAGTTGTTAGGCATCCAATCCTTTTCTCACCTCGAGCAGAAAAGCAAACTAGAGGATGATGTTATCAAAAGATCAAATGGGAATTTGGGGCGAGGATTAGGCCTTTGATTAGGCACTAATGAAGTGGGCATGCAAACTTCGCCTGCCCCATGACAATAACATTGGACCCTCACCTATGGCCACTGATCTCCTTGTTCAAATGATTATATTCTAGTCTTTCTTTTTTGCACTTTTGACTATGATACTAGGCTTAAACTACTATCCTGTGGATGTTTTTGCTCTCTTTTGGACTGGGATCGTTTTCCTCATGCAAACTTCGCCTGCCCCACGACAATAACATTGGACCCTCCCCTATGGCCACCGATCCTCTTGTTCAAATGATAATATTCTAGTTTTTTATTGCACTTTTGACTATGATACTAGGCTTAAACTATTATCATGTGGCTGTTTTTGCTCTTTTTTGGACTGGGATCGTTTTCCTTGTGCTGGAATTCTCTATTTTTATATCCATGAGGTACTTTTCCATTGAACCCGTTTACAGGGAAGTGGTATCGTTTCTTAAGTCCAATTGAGTAAACTCCAACCATGTTAAGGTTAGGAAATTTATAAGATTTTTACTTTTTTATAATTGGATACTAGATTTGAACCGGTTAAGAAGAGAGTTTACACTTGCTTGAACATTATGTCAACTTCTTATTATTAGATTCGTCATTTAAATTTTAGACTTCATTAGTTTGATGACTCGTGCGGTTTATTAAAATTTATCAAATAATAAATAAAAAAACTTGTTCACCTAATTTTTTGATTTTTTTAACTCAAAATTTTGCATTTAATGAATCTTTTTTTTTTTTTAACTTTTCAATAATTTTTTTTAAAAAAACATAATATAATTTTCTTTATGTATGGATTCTTAAATACAAATTTATAATGATTAAAAGTGTAAGTTTCCACACACAAAAAAAAAAAAAAACAATGCCTCAATATGTTTTCATAAGATTATACTGAAAAAATAAAGTAACAATTAATTTGTTTTTTTTTTAAATATATTTTTTATTCTTAGTGAATATTTATGAGACAATTGTTTTACGAAAGTATGTACGTTGGGTTACATATATTTATTAAAAAATAATCAATAATATTAGAATATAAGAAACTCTAATTTTATTTGAAAAGTATAGTTTCATTAAATGGTTTTTAAAAAATTATTTTATTTGAAGAGGAATTGATTTGAGAATATCTAAAACTTAAATGATTAAATAGAGAATGGTCGGTGTTTTATGTATATAAGCATAGTTAATTTTCTATAAAACCTATAATTCAATTTTTTTTAATACACGTGACTATATTGAATGGGTTTATGGTCTTCATTCTCTAATAAAAATGATTAAAAAAATACTTAACATATAAGAAATATATTAAAAACTCGAAGTTAACAAGGGAAATAAAAATCATAAAAAATAATTTCAACAAATTTTGGTTGTATAAAGAAAAAAACAAGATACACAGATTGTATGAAAAAAAATACGCACATAGACTCTCTCTCTCTCTCTCTCTCTCTCTTTTAAAAAAATATTTATGTTTTCAGGCCATACATGCCTAGCTCTTGGCACGGGTGTCGCTCATGGAGTAATTACTATTTTTTTCAATTCTTACTTTTAATCATCAATTAATAATTTTAAAAATAAATTTTTTTAAAAAATTAGGATCGATTTTTTGTAATTCTAATTCAATTTAAAAATTATAGAATCCATCATATATATATATAAAAACAAAAGAGAGAATAATAATGTTCGATTAAAATTTATTCAAAAATCCATACATAACGAAAATAACGATATATTTTAATAAATAAAATTTGCTAAAAAAGCC